GGAAGAGGGTTATGAGGGGGGGATTAGGGACAGGCGCCCGGGGCGTGAGTTCAAGTCCTAGTACTGTCTCACACACACACACACACACAGAATCAAGTGTGCCCACGAGCCCCAGGATCTTTGCACCAGCCTCCGCTCCCCCATTTCCTCCTGACCCTGAGCCAGGCTCAGCCCCTGGCAGACCAGGCCTCCATGCGCCTCTGTCTGTCTCCTGTAACCACCCAGCCCACCCCCCAAAACCTGCCCCCCCCCATTGCCTGTCTTGTCTTTTTTTTCCCCCCACACCTTTGAGTCACCTGGAAACTCCTCCTCCAGGCAGCCAGCCAGGGTTTGCTTCCCACCCGACCCAGCCTCCTCTCCACCTTTTTCCTCCTGTCCATCCATCTCCTCACCCTGGGCTGGCTAGCTAGACTGGCAGGCCAAGGGGGGAGGGATGGAATGAGGGTGGAATCCAGATCGGGGTGCATTCAGGGACAGGGGTAGGGGGTAGTGTGTGTGTGTGTGTGTGTGTGTGTGGACGGGACAGACGTTATCAAAGTCATAAAACAGCGGCTGCAAAGTTCAAGTTGAACACCCTGGAGTCTTTATCGCCCTGTTTATGGTGCCTGTCCAAAGCCAGAGGGGGGGGGAATCTTTCTTCACAGAGACATAAAAAAATAAAAACTGAGGGGGGGGGGGAAAGGAAAGAAAAACTCCAGTGTGTGTCAGAGGAGGAAGTTTTCCTCCAGTTCCATCTGCACTTCTTTCTTCCTTCTGCCCCTCCCCTCCCTCCCTTCCTCCCTCTCTCTCCCTCCCCACCCCACCCACAGCAAGCAAAAAATGCCTAGTACCAGGCAGACCTGGGGGTGGGGGTGGGGGGGGGGTGGGGGGGGTGAATGGAACCACAAAGCAACTGGGAAAGAATCTCAGTCCAGGGAATACACTACAGCCAGGAACAAGAGTCTCCTTTGCTTCAGGGAGAGAGATTGAGAAGAAGAAAAAAAAAAATCAGGGAAGGCTTCCTGGAGGGGGCATCTTCCAACCTAGGGGACTGACAATCCCATGTCGGCCTGCCTCCCCCCCCCCCCCCGGGGTGGGGGAATATTGTACCCTGTCACTGAAATCTGGGGGAAGAATGTCTTAGGAAGGAACCCGGAGTTGGGGGTACTGCCCAGCTACCCCCCCCCCGGGGGGGGGGGGAGAATCTCTCTTTTCTCTTTTGGAGGTCTCTTGGGTTGCTCATCTCAAAAGAGGAACGAGGCGGGAGCCGGGAGTTAGTGGCTCTCGCCTGGCATCCCAGCTACTCAGGAGGCTGAGATCTGGAGGATCGAAGTTGGAGGCCAGCCTCGTGGGGGGGAGGGGGCAGGAAAGTCTGTGCGACTCTTTTGTCTGAAGAAACCACCAGAAAATAAAGACCAGAGGTGGTGCCGTGGCTCAAGTGGTAGAGCGCTCGCCTTGAGCAAAAGCAGCTCGGGGACGGCGCCCAGGCCCTGAGTTCGAGTCCCACGACCCACAGAAAGAAAGCAAGACTTTTCACTGCACCCAGAAAAATTGCAACAGGCAGCAATTCTACCACGTACCCTAGCCACGCTCAGCCCTGCCTCTCCCTTCCCTCCTGCTTACCCCCTTTCTCCAGTCCCTGTACTAAGACCTGAACTCACGACCTAGGTACTGTCCCTCAGTTGTTGGTTTTTCTTCCCTCCACTGGTGCTCTACCACTTGAGCCACACCTCCACTTCCAGTTTTTTGCTGGTTTACTGGAGATCAGAGTCTCACGGACTTTCCTGCCCCAGGGCTGGCTGGGAACCGCGATCCTCTGGATCTCAGCCTCCTGGGTAGCTAGGATGACAGACGTGAGCCACTGTTCTTAAGAGGGAGGAAGAAGAAAAGAATCTCTCCACTATTCGTGTGATTCCCCCCCATCCCCAACCTTTGTGTGTGTGTGTGTGTGTGTGTGTGTGTGTGTGTCTGGGCCTAGGACCTGCACCTGTTCGTGTGTGCTTTCCTCCCAGAGGAAGAAGAGCACAGCACACATCCACAGATCCTCATTTTCCCCGCAATCGTGACAGTGGTCACCACGCCCCAGTGAATCTTTGCCTCGTTTCCTTTTCCCTTCCTTGCCCTTTGGTTGCTGATTTAGAAACATCCTGACCTACCCACCCCCCCCCCCCACCGCCCCGATTCTTCCCAGACCCAGCCTAAAACCCCAGAGTATTTCCCTATCTAAACAATACGATTGCCGGATCTAAAATACAAACACAGATGGAAAGCTGGGTGGGGGCTGGGGGCTCACGCCTGGCATCCCAGCTACTCAGGAGGCTGAGATCTAGAGGATCGAGGTTGGAGGCCAGCCCTGGGGGTAGGGGGAGGAGGGGAGGGAGGAAAGTCTATGAGACTCTTATCTCCCATGAACCACCAGAAAACCAGAAGTGGCGCCATCTATCTATCTGTCTGTCTGTCTGTCTGTCTGTCTGTCTATCATCTATTTTTCTTTCTTTCTTTCTATCTATCTATCTTTCAATCTATCTTTCTATCTATCTTTCTATCTATCTATCTATTTTTCTTTCTTTCTATCTATCTTTCTATCTATCTATCTATTTTTCTTTCTTTCTATCTATCTTTCACTCTATCTTTCTATCTATCTATCTTTCTTTCAATCTACCTATCTACCTTTTTATCTTTCAATCTATCTTTCTATCTTTCTTTCTATCTATCTTTCTATCTATCTATCTATCTATCTTTTTATCTTTCAATCTATCTTTCTATCTATCTTTCTTTCTATCTATCTATCTTTCTTTCAATCAATCTATCTATCTTTTTATCTTTCAATCTATCTATCTTTATTTCAATCAATCTATCTATCTTTTTATCTTTCAATCTATCTTTCTATCTATCTATCTTTCTATCTATCTATCTATCTTTCTATCTATCTATCTACCTTTCTGTCTACCTTTCTATCTATCTACCTTTCTATCTATCTATCTATCTATCTACCTTTCTATCTATCTTTCTATCTATCTATCTATCTTTCTTTCTTTCTATCTATCTATCTATCTATCTTTCTTTCTATCTATCTATCTTTCTATCTATCTATCTATCTATCTACCTATCTATCTTTCTTTCTTTCTATCTATCTATCTATCTATCTTTCTATCTATCTTTCTATCTATCTATCTATCTTTCTTTCTATCTATCTTTCTATCTATCTATCTATCTATCTATCTATCTATCTATCTATCTATCTACCTATCTATCTTTCTTTCTATCTATCTATCTTTCACTCTATCTATCTTTCTATCTATCTTTCTATCTATCTTTCTTTCTATCTTTCTTTCTTTCTATCTATCTATCTATTTTTCTTTCTTTCTATCTTTCTATCTATCTATCTTTCTATCTATCTATCTATCTATCTTTCTATCTATCTATCTATCTATCTATCTATCTATCTATCTATCTATCTATCTATGGAGCTGAAGCAGCTCAGGGACAGCGCCCAGGCCCTGAGTTCAAGCCCCACGATCGATGAAACAAAACAAAACGTTTGCATATTACTTTCCTTCATACCTAACATTCAAATACTTTCCAGCTACGTGTGATAAGGACCCCATGGAGAATGTGGATCTGAGCGGGCGATGTGCTTATGCTAGAAGCTTCTTGCCTGTCCGTGTCAGGTGCTGTCTTTGGCTGTGAATCTGATTGGGTTCTGTGGGGCCCAGCCAGTTTTACATGTCAACTTTTCTTGGGTTTTATGTGTGTCCATCCTGGGGCTCAAACTGAGCTGTCCCTGAGCTTTTATGTGAGCCACAGCGCTACTTCTGGCTGTGTGTGTGTGTGTGTGTGTGTGTGTGTGTGTGTGTGTGGACTTTCCTGCTCACGGATGGCTTGGAACCGTGATCCTCTGGATCTCAGCCTCCTGAGTAGCTGGGATGACAGGTGTGAGCCACCAGCATCTGCCTACCTGTGACCCTGCTGGAGATAGGGGATTTCTGCCTTTAAGGAAGTCCCTCCTGTTATCTAACTTCAAAACCAGTTCTTCCTGCTGAGCGTTCACCAAAGCAAAAGAGGAATTCACCAAGGACTAGCTGCCATCAACCTAGCTTCGCTGCCACCTAACTCCTCATCAACAGCTCGAATCCCAGCCCCCAACCACAGACCCTGTGTTTGCAAACAGAGTCCTGTAAAAACCCCACTTTATTATTATTATTATTAATATGCCAGTCCTGAGACTTGAACTCAGGGCCTTTGGTTTCTGGTCCTGGAGCAAGAAAGCTGGCATTCGACCACTTGAGCCAGAGCTCCACTTCCGGCTTCTTGGGTGCTTCAGTCAGGAGAGGTGACGGTCCGTCTCCTGGGCTTTTCTCACCCTGTCTCTTGGTTTTCTAGAATGTTCTCCCTCATCATCTTTTTCTGGCTTGATAATAAACCAGGCCTGTATTTGACCGGGCGATTTTCCAATGTTATTTTATTTACTCTTTGGTCCCTTCTGTGATCTCTGGAATCCGGAGGGATAAGGAGAATGTTTAGAAGGAGGAGATGAGAGGAAGAGGAAGGTCCCTATTTCTCCCTGATAGCAAAGCAGGCTGACCGGACCTCCACGGCTATCTGAGGTTGACCAGATGTCCGGAGGCTGATCTACAGAACTAGACAGATAATGGTTGGGGGTGGGGGGAGGATGGTCTGAGGGAACATTGACCTGTCTTGGAATGATCATCCGCTGCGTGACCTCAGTTTCTCCCTCTCCCCCCTTTTATTTTTAAATATGCTAGTTCTAGGGCTTGATCTTAGGGCCCCGCGTTGTCTCTACCAACTCCAAAACCATGATGGAGCCACTTCTGGCTTTTTGTGGTTTTCATTGTGCTTGCCTGGCTCAGAACCGCGATCCTCCGGATCTCAGCCTCCTGGGGAGCTAGGATGACAGGCGGGAGCCCAGGTACCCGGCCTGATGGCTGTCTTACTCGATGTGACCCTCTTACCCTCCCCCTCCCATCCAGGGCGGCCAGGGGGCCCGGCCGCAGCAGGAATGTGACTACTTGCAGATGATCGAGGAGCAGCAGAGGCAGTGTCTGGAAGAGGCCCAGCTGGAGAACGAGACCACAGGTGAGACCTTTCAGGGGGACTCGGGCTGGGGGCTCACGCCTGTCATCCCAGCTACTCAGGAGACTGAGATCCGGAGGATCGTGGTTCCAAGCCAGCCCCAGGGCGTGGGGGAAAGTCCGTGAGATTCTTCTCTCCAGTGAACCACTCTGAACACCGGAAGTGGCGCTGTGGCTCAAGGGGTAGAGCGCCGGCCTGGAGCCCAAGAGCCTGAGGGACAGCGCCCAGGCCCCGAGTTCAAGCCCCACCACCGACAGACAAACAAGATTTCCATCCCTGCCACCCCCATGCCCATCCCCCATGGCACCCTACTTCTGCCTTGAGAGTCACAGAGCTGAACCCCAGTTGGGAGGTATGGGGGGGGGAGGAGGTAATCAGGCCAGCTGGACTGGGTCTTGGCCCAAGTCTGGAGTTGACTTTGGCTCCAGGATTCGGTTACGGAATGAATCTATGGCGGCTGGGTAGCCATGAAATACCTCCCTCAGGGGAAGGTTCTGGAAGGTTCTGGAAGAGTCCTTACCCTTATCCCCCACCCCCCACACACTCCTCCTGCAGGGTGCATGCCATGACATAACCCCACCCATCGGTCTGGCTGTCTGGGGGAGGACGGGACCATGAACGGAGCTCTATGCACTTCCATCTCTACCCACCGCCGCCGCTGCCGGAAATACTGAGCGAGGGACTTCCCTGTTTGCCTGCCAGTTTTGCACACGGCCCTGGGCCAACACAGTAGATGGCTCCAGTGTGCTTTGTCACTATGCCAGGCCCGAACCACATGTCTTTAAAATCAGCATTGTCTACTGGTGGATTCAGTCATTGATTTATTTTAGTCGGTCGTGGGGCTTGAACTCGGGGCCTGGGCGCTGCCCCTCAGCTCTTCAGCTCAAGGCTGGTGCTCTACCACGTGAGCCACAGCGCCACTTCTGGTTTTCTGGACCAGAACACACATATAGTCCTCTGGGGGGCCTTGGGAGGGGGTACCTGGAGAACTGTAGCGGCTCACACCTGTCATCCCAGCTCCTCAGGAGGCTGAGGCCCGAGGATCGCAGTTCGAGGCCAACCCGGACAGGAAAGTCTGTGAGACTCTTCTCTTCGATGAACCACCACCCCCCCCCCCAAAAAAAAGCTGGAAGTGGAGCTGTGGCTTCATTAGTAGAGCACTAGATTTGAGCACCAAAGCTCAGGGACAGCACCCAGGCCCTGAGTTCGAATCCAAGGACTGGCCCCAAAAAGCAATCAAACCACAAATATCCCCTGCTGCTTGCTTGCTGGGGATTCTGTGGCAAATAATTCGACCATGGAAATGTCTTGTGGTCCCACCGATCGTAAAACAGAGAGGCCCCACGTGGTGTGTCCGTAGGTGTGAACAGAGGGTGTGTCAGCTCTCCAGGTGCAGGTCACCTCAGATGGGAAGTGATTGGTTGTAAAACACCGGGTACAAGTTCAGGCGTGATCTCACGGGACGATAAGAAGTCTCAGAGTCTGAAGGTTGTGTCTATAAATATAAATGCTGGGAACGGGAGAGGCGCAGACGGTGAGTTACACACACACACACACACACACACACACACACACACAGAGGTGCTGAATCACTGGATCAGATCCCTGTGGGCAACTTGAATCTCCCACACTTGGAGCAATTCTTCCCGAAAAGTTCTGAACCAGCCAGCAAAAAAGCACGCACGGTTTGTCTTCCCATTTCTGTTTTTGTTTTTTCGTACTCTCTCCCCCCTCCGGTTCTTTGGGGTGCTCACCAGTGTCTAGGTTCTGATCATTGTAAGTAAAATAAAATGGGTTTTCTTAGCTGGGCTCCGGCGGCTCACGCCTGTCATCCCAGCTACTCAGGGAGGCTGAGATCTGGAGGATCGTGGTTCGAGGCCAACCCCGGGAGGAAGGAATAGTCCATGAGACTCTGATCTGCAAAGAACTAACCCCAAAAAGAGCCCGGGTGGAGCTGTGGCTCAGATGGTAGAGCACAGGCCTGGAGCACAAAAGCTCAGGGACTAGGCCCAGGCCCTGAGTTCAAGTACAAGGACAACCGCCCCTAGTAGAATGTAAGGTCGCTCATCATTGGACACCTGTCCGTCATTCCCAGTGCCTACCTATCAGATGCCTTGGGTTCTTGGGGAGTAGGCGGGACCTACTGACAGGAGGAGGAGGAAAGGAAGAAAATGGGCTACAGACTGGCTTGAGTGTGTCTGTCTGTCTGTCTGTCTCCCGATCCACAGGCTGTGGCAAGATGTGGGACAATCTGACCTGCTGGCCGGCCACCCCTCGGGGTCAGTCGGTGGTTTTGGCCTGCCCCCTTATCTTCAAACTCTTCTCCCCGATTCAAGGTAAGAGCCTGGGGTGGGCGTGGGGGGTGCTGGAGGTTGAGATCCTGAGGATCGCGGTTCGAGGCCAGCCCTGGGGCAGGAAAGTCTGTGAGACTCTGACCTCCAAGGAAACACCAGGAAACTGGAAGTGGCGCCATGATGGAAGAGCTCAGGGACAGCACCCAGGCCCTGAGTTCGAGCCCCACGACTGACCAGGAAAAGAAAGAGACAGGATTGTGGGGGTCCTGGGGAGGGGGGCTGCAGGTGTGGGGCGTGGGCTGGGAGAGGAGGCAGCCCGTGGCAGTGACAGGGGTGACAGGCCTCGGGTGGACGCACATGGGGTTTTGATTCTCTGTTCACACAGAGATAAGGCGCGTGGGAAAGGCCTCGCTCAGTATTTGCTCAGCAATTGATAACGTGATTGATGGGTGGGGCGGGGCTAGGATGCCGAGGCCCCGCCCCTGCGCCTCCCCACCCCCCCCACCTCCCAGGAGCTTCACCCACCTGCGCCCCATGACCTTCTGAGGCCCTGTGAGTCACAGAGAGAGAGAGACAGACAGACACAGAGACACAGAGAGACAGACACAGAGACATAGAGAGACAGACACAGAGACAGAGTGAGCCAGATGCAGACGGACAGAGAGACAGATGGACACAGAGAGAGACAGACATGGAGACCGACAGACAGATCTACAGAGACTAAGAGACAGAGACAGAAGGACAGAGAGACAGACACCGAGAGAGACAGACACACAGACACAGACACACAGAGACAGACACTGAGAGACACAGATACCAAAAGCAAAACCATCAGGAAGCGGAGCTGTGGTTCAAGTGGTAGAGCACCAGCCTTGAGTGAAAGAGCTCAGGCAGGACCCTTGGGTCCTGAGTTCAAGCCCCAGGACCACCCCCCCCCAAAATGATATTGTACCTAACTTGGCACTATGGCTGTCACGGGTCGGTCACCTTAGCAACTGAGGAGGCCAAGGTCGGAGGGGCGTGGTTCAAAGCCAGCCCGGCTAAGAAAGTCATATATATATCTATATCTATAGCTATAGATATGCATGCATGTATGCATGCATGCATGTATGTATATTTGCCAGACCTGGGGCTTGAACTCACGGCCTGGGCGCTGTCCCTGGGGGTACCAAAAGAGTGAAAAATTAAACAATAGTAATAACAATAGTGATGATGATGATAATAATAAAGAATTCGAGTTTACATTACGCCTGGCTGGTAGCAGAGCAAGGCATCCCTCAAAGCCGTGCCCGGCGCATGCGCAGTACAGAGCTAGGCATCCCCCAAAGCCGTGCCCGGCGCATGCGCAGTACAGAGCTAGCGTCCCCCAATGCCGTGCCCGGCGCATGCGCAGTACAGAGCTAGGCATCCCCCAAAGCCGTGCCCGGCGCATGCGCAGTACAGAGCTAGGCATCCCCAAAGCCATGGTTCCTGCCTGGCTCATGCGTGGTACAGAGCTTGGAAATACCCAAAAACTCATGTTTCCTGCACAGCGCATGCACAGTACAGAGGCTAGGAATACCCAAAGGCACGTCACCCGCTCAGCGCAGGTACTGCGCATGCGAAGTAGGCCTACCCAAAGCCTGGTTTCTTGACGAGCGCATGCGCGGTACAGAGTTCGGCATACACAAAACCACGTTTTATGTTCGCGCATGCGCAGTACAGAGCTAGGCCTACGCAAAGCCACGGATTTCCTGCTTGGCACATGCACAGTTCAGAGCCAGGCATACCCACGGCTCCTGGCCGGCGCACGCGCAGTACAGAGCTGGGAATACCCAGCGCTATGCCAGGCGCATGCGCAGTACAGGGCTAGGCCTACCCAAAGCCTGGTTTCCTGACGAGCGCATGCGTGGTACAGAGTCCGGCATATACAAAAAAAAAAAAAAAACCACGTTTCATGTTCGGCGCATGCGCAGTACTGCTTGGCACATGCACAGTACAGAGCCAGGCATACCCATGGCTCCTGACCGGCGCATGCGCAGTACAGAGCTGGGAATACCCAAAGCTATGCCAGGCGCATGCGCAGTACAGAGCTAGGGCTACCCAAAGCCTGGTTTCCTGACGAGCGCATGCTTGGTACAGAGCTTGGAATACCAAACACCACATTTCATGCTCGGCGCATGCGCAGTACAGGGCTAGGAAGACCCATAACCGTGTTTCCCGCCCGGCGCATGCGTGGTACAGAGCTAGGACTTACCCCCAAAGGCATGTTTCCTCCCCAGCGCATGCGTGGTGGCGCTGCCCGACTCCTGCCCAGCGCGTGCGCAGTGCCGACAGCGCGGGCGCGGGCGGCCTACGTCCGGCCTGAGCCTGGGGCTCGGGCCCTGGCGGCTGTCCCCCCCGCAGGTCGCAACGTGAGCCGCAGCTGCACGGAGGACGGAGGCTGGACGGCGCTGGAGCCCGGCCCCTACCCGCTGGCCTGCGGCCTGGACGACAAAGCAGCGAGCCTGGACGAGGTGCGCGCTCCCCGCCGGGCCCTGGCCGCCCTGGAGCACCCCGGGCCCGGGATGGCGCCACTTCCGGCCCGCTGGCGGGCCTCGAACCGCGATCCTCCGGATCGCAGCCTCCCCGCGCCGCTGGCTCCCGGGAGCCTCCCCGTTCTCCCCACAGCGCCACTGCTGGCTCGTGCTGTGCCTGTGGTGCTGGGGACTCGAACCCAGGGCTTCAGCCCTGCTGGGCGAGCCCTCCACCCCTGAGCCAGCTTCCCAGCACCCCCCCCTCTCCCCCTGGAGACTCTCCATCTCCAACAAAAAGCCAGAAGCGGCACTGGGGCAGCGCCCCAGGCCGTGAGTTCGAGTCCCGGGACTGGCACAGAAAGACCAGGTGGGCACCAGGTCATCCTAGCTACTCAGGAGGAGGCTGAGGCCCGAGGATCACGGTTCGAGGCCGGCCTAGATGAAAAGGGAAGCCCGTGTGACCCCCCCCCCAGCCCTAGCCCCAGGGCCGACCCCACCCCAGGGCCGACCCCGCCCCAGGGCCGACCCCGCCCCAGGGCCGACCCCACCCCAGGGCCGACCCCACCCCAGCCCTTCACCTCCCCCCCCCCAGCAGCAACAAACCATGTTCTACCACTCGGTGAAGACCGGCTACACCATCGGCTACAGCCTGTCCCTGGCGACCCTCCTGGTGGCCATGACCATCCTGACCCTGTTCAGGTGAGGATCAGCATCCTCCCCCCCCACACAAGCCAGCCACCCCCCAAAACTGAAGGCCCCATTGGTGTCCAGGGGAGGGGTGGTAGTGGGAGCTGGGATGTCCGGCTTCCTATTGGCTGGGGTGAGGTTAGGGGGGCGGGACCTAAGATGCCTTCTGAGTATAAGATCCACCTGCTGCCCCCAACCCCACCAATGCAGAAAACTGCACTGCACCCGGAATTACATCCACATGCACCTCTTCGTGTCCTTCATCCTGAGAGCGGCCGCTGTCTTCATCAAAGATCTGGCGCTCTTCCACAGCGGGGAGTCGGATCACTGCTCTGAAGGCTCGGTAAAGACCCCCCCCCAACCTTGGCACCTCCTTTATTCCCCCCCCCATCTCTTCTTGTGTGTGTGACAGTCCTGGGGTTCGAACTCAGGGCCTGAGCTGCCCCTGAGCTCTTCAGCTCAAGGCTGGCGCTCTACCACTTGAGCCACAGATATGGCGCCACTTCTGGTTTTCTGGTGGCTCATCGGAGATCGAAGTCTCACGGACATTCCTGCCCACAGGCTGGTTTTGAACCACGATCCTTCGGATCTCAGCCTCCTGAGTAGCTGGGATGACAGGCGTGAGCCACCGGGCACCGGCTTGAGTGGCTGCCCCCATTGATGAAGGAAGTTTTTCAACCCTGTACAGGGCAGGGACCCCGTGGTCTGGAGCTATCTCCAATCTCAGGGCGCAGGAAGGAAGGGTGGGGAGCTTTCGCTGTGGGTACAGGGGAAGTGGGAGGCAGACGGCTTCCTGGTCGAGGTGGCTCTATGCCCTGACCCCAAGGCATACGTAGCTTGGGTCTGAACATGAGATCCTTTGTCTGGAAAGGGAGGCAGAGGACTCAGAAGATCTTCCAAGAAAGGCCAGGGCGCTGGTGGCTCACACCTGTCATCCTAGCTACTCAGGAGGCTGAGATCCGGAGGATCGAGGTTCCCAAAGCCAACCCCAGGCAGGAAACTACCAGGAGCGGAGGGGTGGCCCAAGCAGTAGAGTGCCAGCCTGGAGCCCTGAGTTCAAGCCTCTTCTTCCTCTCCTTCCTCTCCCCCGTCCCCCGGCAGGTGGGCTGTAAGGCAGCAGTGGTATTTTTCCAGTACTGTGTCATGGCTAACTTCTTCTGGCTGCTGGTGGAAGGTCTCTATCTGCACACCCTGCTCGCCGTCTCCTTCTTCTCCGAGCGGAAGTACTTCTGGGGTTACATTATCATTGGCTGGGGTACGGTGCGAGGGGCGCCCCCCCAGGCTGGGGCGGAGCTGGGGGGGACAGGTGTGGGGGGGGAGTTCGAGTTCATCGGGAGGAGGGCATCATCAAACCAGGCCACAATGCTTTTCTTGGTTTCTGTCGGTTGTGGGGCTTGAACTCGGGGCGTGGACGCTGTCCCTGAGCCTCTCTGTGCTCAAGGCTGGCGCTCTACCGCCTGAGCCACGGCGCCACTTCGGTTTTTGAGTGGGTCATCGGAGCTGAGAGTCTCACGGGGCTGGCCTTGGATGGCGATCCTCTAGATCGCAGCCTCCTGAGTAGCTGGGATGACAGGGGTGAGCCTCCAGCGCCCAGCAACACTGCGCCCTTCTTACAAGAGACCCTAAGTGGCCACGGGAATGTTTGTCCTCCTGTCTCCTTTTGTCTGTCTCTTCTAAACCTCTTGCTTGGGTCTCCTTCCCGTTTTCCTGTGCTTACCACGTCCTCCCCCCACGCCTCCCCCCTCTTTCCCCCCCCCCCCACCTTTGGCCCTGACAGGCGTACCCAGCACCTTCATCATGGTCTGGACCATCATTCGGATCCACTATGAGGACCATGGGTGAGTGTCACCTGACTTCCGGTCCCCCCAGGTACAACCCCCGGGGAAGGAAATAATGCCCCCCCCCCACCAAACTTAAGCATCCTCAGCAGACAGATGGCTGTATGTGCAAATGTAGCTAGACGAGGGTGATAAGGGAACAATCTGGAATTGAGGATCCGGTCATTTAAGGACTGGCGGGCTACGGTTGGGACCAGCTGGGAGGGGTTTATTTGGGGGGGGGCAGGAGGAGGATCATCTCATTCTCTCCTTACCCCCCCCCCCCCCCGGCAGGTGCTGGGACACCATTAACTCCTCCCTCTGGTGGATCATCAAAGCCCCCATCCTCACTTCGATCCTGGTAAGACTGCCGCCCGCCACGTGGACCGGAAGAGGTCAGAGGAAACTGAGGCCCAGAGCATGGGGAGATGGCTAAGCGCAGGGCCCACAGGAAATTCCGGTCCACAGCGTGGATGGTCCATCCACGGCCTTTCCCGGGGACGTGGGTGTCATCCTGTAATGCACAAGCCGGGGTGCCGGTGCTCACGCCTGCCATCCCAGATAATCAGGAGGCTGAGATCTGAGGATCGCGGTTCAAAGCCAGCCCGGGCAGGAACATCCCTGAGACTCTGATCTCCAATAAAACACTCAGAAAAACCGGAAGCGGCGCTGTGGCTCAAGTGGTAGAGCGCCAGCCTTGCGCTGAAGCGCTGAGGGACAGCGCCCAGGCCCCGAGTTCAAGCCCCACGGCCAACTTAAAAAAATAAAAAGTAATACAGAGGGGAAGAAAACAGGCTGCCAGCAGCCAGAGACTGGACGCCCCCATCTCCCCTTCTCTGAGTGATCATTTTTTTGGGGGGGGACCCCTCCTGTCTTTCCCCACCCACCAGGTGAACTTCATCCTGTTCATCTGTATCATCCGGATCCTGGTTCAGAAACTGCGGCCACCGGACATTGGAAAGAACGACAGCAGCCCATACTCGTGAGTGTCACCCTGTGCCTTGGTCCCCCCCCAAAGAACTCCACCTCCACCCCCTAGCTCTCCACCTCCTCAGGCTCCCTGGCCAGGGAACTCGAAGGGGTCAGAGATGACCGGGCGCCGGTGCTCACGCCTGTCATCCCAGCTACTCGGGAGGCTGAGATCTAGAGGATCGCAGTTCGAGGCCAGCCCGGGCAGGAACGTCCCCGTGAGACTCTTGTCTCCTGAAAACTAGAAGTGGAGCTATGGCTCCAAGTGGTGGAGCTGTAGCCTTAGGGCAGGAGCTGAGGGACAGCGCCCAAGCCCTGAGTTCGAGCCCCAGGACTGGTAGTAATAATAATAATAATAATGATACATAAACGGAATGAGGATTCCTGAGTGTGTCTACCAACAGGAACCTTCCCCCATGAACCTGTGAGTGGGGGCACAGACCAGCTAAAACTTAGCAATCTCACGGGAATGTTCTAGAATGTTCTCGAACGTTCTCCCTCTGGCTTCCTCTCCTGGCGGGGCCAGGCTAGGCTAGGGTTCCAAGATTTCCCTGCACGATGTCACGAGCTGGCAGATTTCGGGTTCTATTTTGGAGCCGTGTGGTTCTTTCTAATGAGATTTCAGATTCACATTTGTGGTGTGACAGATTTTTCTCCCCGCCCCCCCCACTCTCCCCACCCGCCGGCCAAGCGTGTGTGGGCAAGACTCTCTTTCCTGTAAAGATGGAGGGGGAGAAAGTGAGCCTACTTTCTCTCCCCCCCCCCCAAAGCACCAATGGCTCACCCAGGGCTGGAGGCTGAGGACCAGGATCGGATCCGCTCACATCCGGGTCCTGTTTGGTCCAGGATGGGGAGCAGCTGGTTCTAAGCAGGAGCTAAGGACGATGTTCCCCCTCCAGCCTTCCACGGGTGGTTTTTGTTTTTTTTTGGTCTTGTCTTTAAAAAAAAATGCCTCCATCTGCCAGCCTAGCCTTAGGGGGTGCGTGGGCTCCGTCCTGGGGGGGTGGGCAGAGCTACGGATCCTGGGAGCCAGGCTTCCCAGCCAGAGCCTCCCAAAGAAGCAGACAGGGCTCACCAGAAACTAACCCAGAGCACGGCAAGTTTGGCCACTCATTCCAGCATGTCAACACAGCAGCCGGGCCCCGTGGCTCACGCCTGCCATCCCAGCTACTCCAGGAACCGAGATCTAGAGGACCGCAGTTCAAAGCCAGCCCAGGGCAGGAAAGATCGTGAGACTCATCTCGGATGAAAACCAGCAGTGGTGCCGTGGATCGAAGTGGTAGAGCACTAGCCTTGAGCAGAAAAGGTCACGGACAGCACCCAGGCCCTAGGTTCAAGCCCCACACCTGACCAAAAACATGACAAAGGACCTTTACCCAAATCTAGACTGTGAACAAAAGATCTCGCTTCCTGAGACTATTCCTCAGTAACTGAAATCCTATATAAAATGATAATAATATAGCCAAGTGTCAGTGGCTCACGCCTGTCATCCTAGCCACTTGGGAGGCTGAGGTCTGAGGATTGCAGTTCAAAGCCAGCCTGGGAGACTCTTAGATCCAATTCAGCACCAGCTCAGGAGACAGGGTTAGCTTTGAGCCTTGAGCAAAAAGCTCAGGCATGGCGCTCAGGCCCTGAGATCAAGCCTCAGGATTGGAACAAAAAAAAATTGGAAACAGTACCTGAGCCTGAATTCAGGACTGTACAGTAGGCAGGTGCTCTACCACTTGAGCCACACCTCCAGTCATTTTTGCTTTAGGTTATTTTCTCACATAGGGTGAGTGTGTGTGTGTGCATGCACGCGCCAGTCCTGGAGTTTGAACCCTGGTTCCTGTTCCTTAGCTTTTTGTTGTTGTCGGTCGTGGGGCTTGAACTCGGAACTCTGGGCCTGGGCGCTGTCCCTCAGCTCTTCAGCTCAAGGCGGGGCGCTCTACCACTTGAGCCACAGCACCACTTGCGGTTTTCTGGTGGTTTATTGGAGATCAGAGTCTCACGGACTTTCCTGCCTGGGCTGGCTTTGAACCGCGATCCTCAGATCTCAGCCTCCTGAGTAGCTGGGACCACAGGCAGGAGCCACCCGTGTCAGGCTGCTCTTGTTTTTATCTGATTTTTTCCCCAAGCTAGCCCATGATCTGCCTGCCTGCCTGCCCCCCCCCACGCCGCTGGGATTACAGGGCCACACTGTCACAGCCGACCTGTATGTTGAGATGGGGTCTCTTAGTTCTTTCCCCATTCCCTGAACCCCCCCCCCAGTTCCACACGACTCTGCGTCCCCCTCACCGGCTTCTCCTCCAAGGAGGGGAGGGCAGACACTGTGCAGGACTGGCAGCTGACTGTCGCTCACCCGGGTCTGTCCCGCTGTCCCCCCCTGGTCGTCCCTGTGGGGCGCCCGCGGGCGCGCGCTCACGGGCGCGTGCTCACCCCCCCCCCCCCCCCGCAGGCGGCTGGCCAAGTCCACGCTCCTGCTCATCCCGCTCTTCGGCGTCCATTACATCATGTTCGCCTTCTTCCCGGACAACTTCAAGGCGGAGGTGAAGATGGTGTTCGAGCTGGTCGTGGGGTCCTTTCAGGTACGGGCGGGGGGTCGGCTGCCGCCTCCTTCCCGGGGGGCTGGGGGGGACGATGGCGAGCGAGCGCGCCTCCCGAGGCCGGCCTCCCCCACGCCCCGTCCGGAGGCCGGCCTCCGCCCAAGGCCTCCCCCCTCCCTCCCCCCCCCCCGGCCTCCCCCAGCCCCGGCCTCCCCCCCCCCCCCCGCCCCGGCCTCCCCCCGCCCCGGCCTCCCCCAGCCCCGGCCTCCCCAGCCCCCCCCCCCCCCGAGGCCAGCCTCCCCCCCCCCCGCCCCGGCCTCCCGAGGCCGGCCTCCGCCCGCGGCCTCCCCCCGCCCCGGCCTCCCCCCGCCCCCTCCCCGAGGCCGGCCTCCCCCCACCCCGGCCTCCCGAGGCCGGCCTCCGCCCGCGGCCTCCCCCGCCCCGGCCTCCCACCCCCCCCCCCCCCCGCCCCGGCCTCCCACCCCCCCCCCCCCCCGCCCCGGCCTCCCACCCCCCCCCCCGCCCCGGCCTCCCCCCGCCCCGGCCTCCCCCAGCCCCCCCCCCGAGGCCAGCCTCCCCCCCCCCGCCCCGGCCTCCCCCAGCCCCCCCCCCCCCCCGAGGCCAGCCTCCCCCCCCCCCCCCCGCCCCGGCCTCCCGAGGCCGGCCTCCGCCCGCGGCCTCCCCCCCGCCCCGGCCTCCGCCCGCGGCGCGGCCCAGGCGGTGCAGCGCCATCCCCGGGCCCTGCGCCACCCGCCCGTGTGCTTCCTCCGCAGGGGTGCGTGGTGGCCGTTCTGTACTGCTTCCTCAACGGGGAGGTGAGTCCCGGGCCCCGCAGGTGCGCGTCCCCCCCGGGAGGCCCTGGCCGTCCCCCCCCCCCCCCCCCCCGAGGCTGAGGTCCGGGGATCGCAGCTCGAGGCCCGCCCGGGGCAGGCGGGAGGCCGACCTCCCAGCCAACCCCGCCGGGCAGGCCCGGGGACGGCGCCCGGGCCCCGGGTTCGAGTCCCGCGATCCGACCAATTCACACAAGAAGCCGCCATCAAACCAGGCCCGGAGGGGGGGGCCCTGGGAGGCTGGGGGGGAGCCCTGGGAGGCTGGGGGGGCCCTGGGAGGCTGGGGGGGCTGGGGGGGCCCTGGGAGGCTGGGGGGGGGCTGGGGGGGCCCTGGGAGGCTGGGGGGGGCTGGGGGGGCCCTGGGAGGCTGGGGGGGGCTGGGGGGGCCCTGGGAGGCTGGGGGGGGCTGGGGGGGCCCTGGGAGGCTGGGGGGGGTCCTGGGAGGCTGGGGGGGGCCCTGGGAGGCTGGGGGGTCCTGGGAGGCTGGGGGGGGCTGGGAGGGCCCTGGGAGGCTGGGGGGGTCCTGGGAGGCTGGGGGGGGCCCTGGGAGGCTGGGGGGTCCTGGAGGCTGGGGGGGGCCCTGGGAGGCTGAGGGGTCCTGGGAGGCTGGGGGGTCCTGGGAGGCTGGGGGGGGCTGGGGGGCCCTGGAGGCTGGGGGGGGCTGGGGGGCCCTGGGAGGCTGGGGGGATCCTGGGAGGCTGTGGGGGGCTGGGGGGCCCTGGGAGGCTGGGGGGGGCTGGGGGGCCCTGGGAGGCTGGGGGGCCCTGGGAGGCTGGGGGTGTCCTGGGAGGCTGGGGGGGGCCCCTGGGAGGCTGGGGGGCCCTGGGAGGCTGGGGGGGCCTGGGAGGCTGGGGGGCCCTGGGAGGCTGGGGGGGGGCCTGGGAGGCCGGGGGTGTCCTGGGAGGCTGGGGGGGGCCCTGGGAGGCTGGAGGGGTCCTGGGAGGCTGGGGGGGTCCTGGGAGGCCGGGGGGTCCTGGGAGGCTGGGGGGTCCTGGGAGGCTGGGGGGCTCCTGGGGGGCTGGGGGAGGGGGCCGGGGGGAGGCCGGGGGTGTCCTGGGAGGCTGGGGGGGGCCTGGGAGGCCGGGGGTGTCCTGGGAGGCTGGGGGGGGGGGCCTGGGAGGCCGGGGGTGTCCTGGGAGGCTGGGGGGGTGTCCTGGGAGGCCGGGGGTGTCCTGGAGGCTGGGGGGGGTGTCCTGGGAGGCTGGGGGTGTCCTGGGAGGCTGGGGGGGTGTCCTGGGAGGCTGGGGGTGTCCTGGGAGGCTGGGGGGGTGTCCTGGGAGGCTGGGGGGGGTGTCCTGGAGGCCGGGGGGTGTCCTGGGAGGCTGGGGGGGTGTCCTGGGAGGCCGGGGGTGTCCTGGGAGGCTGGGGGGGTGTCCTGGGAGGCTGGGGGTGTCCTGGGAGGCTGGGGGGGTGTCCTGGGAGGCCGGGGGTGTCCTGGGAGGCTGGGGGGGTGTCCTGGGAGGCCCGGGGGTGTCCTGGGAGGCTGGGGGGGTGTCCTGGGAGGCTGGGGGGTGTCCTGGGAGGCTGGGGGGGTGTCCTGGGAGGCCGGGGGTGTCCTGGGAGGCTGGGGGGGTGTCCTGGGAGGCTGGGGGTGTCCTGGGAGGCTGGGGGGGGGGCCTGGGAGGCCGGGGGTGTCCTGGGGGGCTGGGGGGGCCCTGGGAGGCCGGGGGTGTCCTGGGAGGCTGGGGGGGCCCTGGGAGGCCGGGGGTCCTGGGAGGCTGGGGGGCTCCTGGGGGGCTGGGGAGGGGGCCGGGGGAGGCCGGGGGTCCCTGGGAGGCCCCCCCCCCCGTCCCCCACGCCTCGGCTCTCGGCCCCCCGCAGGTGCAGGCGGAGCTGCGGCGGAAGTGGCGGCGCTGGCGGGCGCTGGCGCTCCCGGGGCCTGCTGGGCTGGCCCGCCAAGCCCGCGCACGCGTGGGGGCGGCAGCAGCGGCGCCACGTGCAGCACGCAGGTGTCCATGCTGACGCGCGCCAGCCCCGGCGCGCGCCGCGCCTCCGGCGCCCAGCCCGAGGCGTCGCTCGTGTGACCCCCCCCCCGCGGGACGCCCCGCCCCCGACAGCCCCTCGGCCAATCCTCAGAGTGGAATCTGCATACGGCCGCTGACTGGCCCGCCTCGGCCAATCCTCAGAGTGGAATCTGCATACGGCCGCTGACTGGCCCGCCCGATCACTTCTGGCCAATCAGGAAGGCAGTCGCCTGGACTCAGGGCTGCGCCTTGCAACGTCTTCAGATCAGACCCCGCCTCCCACGGCCCCTCGGCCAATCATGAGTGGAATCCTCGTACGGCCCGCCCAATAACTTCCGACCAATAAGAAAAGCCCCTGGACTCAGGGCTGTGCCTTGCAACGGTCTTCAGATCAGACCCCGCCCCCGACAGCCCCTCGGCCAATCATATGAGTGGAATCTGCTTGGGGCTGCTGACTCTGCCCCTCTCCCGGCCAATCAGGAAAGCAGTCACCTGGACTAGGGATGTGCCTTGCAACTCTCTTCAGTTCCGACCCCACCTCCGATGGCCCCTCAGCCAATCATAAACAGTGGAATCCGCATACGGCCGCTGGCTCCGCCCCTCCCAGCCTATCAGAGGAAAGCAGTCACCTGGGCTCAGGGCTGCGCCTCGCACCTGTCTTCAGATCAGGCCCCGCCTCCCGATGCCCCTCTTAACCAATCGTAAGCACGGAATCTGCATACGACCGCTGACTCCGCCTCCTCCCAAGAACTTCCGACCAATCGGAGGAGAGCAGTCCCCTGGACTCCGTCAAATGCTTGGCGCGCCGCGGGGCCGAGCTGAGCCGCCGTGGAGGGCAGCGGGGCTGCGGGCCCGGGTCGCCCGGCTCTGGTCGAGCTTTTCGCTTCTCGGGGAGGTGGTGGTTGAAGTGACCCGTTGGGCCGCACCCCGCTCCCCGCCCGGTGGAATATTACAGCCCAGGAACCGGGCGCGGGGTCCCCGCGGGCCCCGCCCGACCGCAATAGATTCTCAGCAATAACGGGTCTCCCGCCGCCGCGCCGGCCCGGCCCCCCGCCCCGGGCTGGCCGCGACCCGCGAGCCCCCGGACCTCAGCCTCCCCGGCGGGCGGGCGACGGCCCAGACAGACAGACAGACAGACAGACAGAGGGCAAGCGAGCCGGCCCGGGCGGGCGACGGCCCAGACAGACAGACAGACAGAGGGCAGCGAGCCGGGCCGGGCGGGCGACGGCCCAGACAGACAGACAGACAGAGGGCAGCGAGCCGGGCCGGGCGGGCGACGGCCCAGACAGACAGACAGACAGAGGGCAGCGAGCCGGGCCGGGCGGGCGACGGCCCAGACAGACAGACAGACAGACAGAGGGCAGCGAGCCGGGCCGGGGCGCCGGCCCAGACAGACAGACAGACAGAGGGCAGTGAGCCGGGCCGGGGCGCCGGGCGGGCGACGGCCCAGACAGACAGACAGACAGAGGGCAGCGAGCCGGCCCGAGGGCGCCGGGCGGGCGACGGCCCAGACAGACAGACAGACAGACAGAGGGCAGCGAGCCGGCCCCGGGGCGCCGGCCCAGACAGACAGACAGACAGACAGACAGACAGAGGGCAGCGAGCCGGGCCGGGGCGCCGGGCGGGCTGGACACGGCGTCGGGCCCCCAGGCCGCCCTCACCGCTGGCCTCGCCCCCATGGGGCCTCCCTGGCCGGCCGGGGCCGGGGCGGGGGGGGATGGGAAAAGGGAGGGAAGAAGGAAGGAGAGAAAAGGGAGAGAGGAAAGGAAGAAGGAAAGGGAAAGAAAAGAGGATCACAGAAAATACAGAAGGAGGGAAGGAAGGAAGGGAAAAGAAGGAAGGAGGGAGGGAAGGAAGGAATGAAGGAGGGAGGGAGGGAGGGAGGGAGGGAAGGAAGGAATGAAGGAGGGGAGGAAGGAATGAAGGAGGGAAGGAGGAAGGGAAGGAAGGAGGGAAGGAGGAAGGGAAGGAATGAAGGAGGGGAGGGAAGGAATGAAGGAGGGAAGGAGGGAGGGAAGGAAGGAGGGAAGGAAGGAAGGAAGGAAGGAAGGAGGGAGGGAGGGAGGGAAGGAAGGAGGAAGGGAAGGAAGGAGGGAGGGAAGGAAGGAAGGAGGGAGGGAAGGAGGGAGGGAAGGAATGAAGGAGGGAAGGAGGGAGGGGAGGAAGGAAGGAAGGAGGGAAGGAGGGAGGGGAGGAAGGAATGAAGGAGGGAAGGAGGGAGGGAAGGAAGGACAGGGAGGAAGGAAGACACAGGCCGGACCAGCTCCTAAATGAGCTACTTCCAGTCCAAGCCCCGCCTCACCTCGCTGGGACGACCGCGAACTGGCCAATGGGCGCGTCCACAGAGGAGACGGGCACCGCGGTGACCCAATCACCTCTCGAGAATGCGAGTGCAGGGCCTGCTGGGGGCCAATCCGTGCCGGGAGGGGGCGGGCGAGGCCCGGCTAGGCCCCGCCCCCGAGGCCCGGCCCCGCCCCGCCCGGCACCGCCCCCCGAGGGCCCGGTCCCGCCCCCCGAGGCCTCGCCCCTCCCCGAGGCCCGGCCCCGCCCCTCCCCCGAGGCCCCGCCCCGCCCGGCCCCGCCCGGCCTGGCCTCGAACCCACGTCTCAGGCTGTCGCAGGCGTGCGCCGCGCCCGGACTGCGCGTGTATACACATCTTTTATATGAGATATGATATGTATTTTAATCTTGGTATTCATTTTTAATTTTAAATAATTTAATCTTGGTCTAAGTATCTCATTGGCCGGTTCTTGTTGTTGTCCGCGGGTCTGTCTGTCCGTCTGTCCGTCTCCTCAAATGCCGCCACTGCTCAGACCAAGCAAGGCCCACAGGCTGACCACATCCACTCGGGAGGCTGAGACGGGAGGACCGGGGTTCGAGGCCAGCCTCCTCCATTCCCGCCAGGGGAGGGTAGGGGGAAAAAACAAGGCCCAGTGAGATTCTGCATCTCCAAGGAACCGGCCAACGCGCCCAGGGGCGGGACAGGCGTGCGGTTCCAGCCGTGAAGCACCTGGCTTTGGGACAGTCGGGGGGCAGAGGCCCTGGGTTCAAGTCCCTGGCTCTACCCGCATTGCAACGTGGCCTAAAAGGAAGTGAACAGATCACAGCTGCTGCCCCTCCCCGCACCCCTGCCCTCCCCACCCCCTCCCCCCCGCCGCCCTCCCCACCCCCCCCCGCCCTCCCCACCCCCTCCCCCCGCCCTCCCCGCCCCCCCCCCTGCCCTCCCCCCGCCCTCCCCCCCCACCGGGGCCCTGGGTGCCCAGTGACGGGAAGCCGCCGCTCTCCTCGCAAGGCCAATATTGACTTTGCACACTGGGGGCTCTGGCGCTGTCTGCTTCCTGTGTCCGGCCTGGCTGTCACCCCAAGACCAACACTGAGCCCCAGTGTCCCCTCGGCCAGCCACCCCGGGGCTGGACATGGGGCTCAGGCCAGGCCTTCGCGAGGTCATTGACCATGTGACCTTGTGTTCCTCACCTCTGACCTCTGACCTGATCAGCTGTTCTGGGGAGGGGGGGATCTCAGTAAACCAGGCCTGGGACAGCTCCCCCCGCCCCTCCACCCCACTCCAGCCAGGGGTGATCCACTTCCCCATCAACACCCCAACTTCAACCCAGCTGGGAAAATCAGGGCCAGGGAGCAACTGGGGTCTGTGAATGAGCGTGTGTGTGTGTGTGTGTGTGTGTGTGTGTGTGTGTGTGTGTGTCACATGAGGGCTGGGACTCTGGGCTTGGGTTCCTGTCTCTGAGCTTTTTCCCCTCCAGGCTGGTGCTCTACCACTTGAGCCACAGCTCTCCACTGCCAGCTTTTTGCTGCTGGTTCACTGAAGAATCTCGTGGAATTCCCTGCCTCCCCTCCCCACACACATACATATCTTTCTAGCTACTCCAGGAGGCTGAGATCTGGAGGATCACCATTCGAGGCCAGCCCCAGGCAGGAAAGGCCGTGAGACTTATCTTCAATGAACCACCAGAACATCAGAAGTGGTGCCATGGTTCAGGAGGTAAGAATGCTCGCCTTGAGCACAAAGAGGCTCAGGGACAGCAGTACCCAGGCCCTGAGTTCAAGTCCCAGGACCAACCACGTAGAGTGTGTTGAAGTGCGTGAACCCTGGAGCTGGGAGCCTGACCCTGGATGGGCCACCGCGCCCCCTGGTGGCTGTCCTGGGACAAGGCCTGTCATCCTAGCTACTCGGCTGGCTCATTGGAGATTAAAAAACAGTCTCACAGGGACATGTCCTGCCCTGGGGCTGGCCTCGAACCACGGTCCTCTAGATCGCAGCCTCCTGTCCCTGTGAGACTTTGTTTTTTTAATCTCCAATGAGCAGGCCGACATGCTTGGTTCAAGTGGTAGAGCACCAGCCTTGAGCAAAAAAAGAAAAATAAGTACAAGGCCCTGAGTTCAAGTTCCAGTACCAGCAGCAGCAACAGAAGAAACCCAGACAGGAGCTCAGAACCCAGAGAGCAGCTTCCCAGGGGGTCATGGAAGCAAGACCAGGGGGGTCCAGCTGGTCTCTAGGGCAGCTCTGTGCTGGACTGGCTCGTTGGGGGCAGTGTGTGTCAGTCCTGGGGCTTGAACTCAGGGCCTGGCACTGTCCCTGAGCTTCTTTTGCTCAAGGCTGGGCGCTCTACCACTTGAGCCACAGCACCACTTCCGGCTTTTTCTGTGTATGTGGTGCTGAGGAATCGAACCCAGGGCTTCCTGCATGTGGGGCGAGGACTCTGCCCCTGAGCCACCTTCCCAGCCGCCCAAACCCAGAATTCTCGGCACACACAGAACACACAGCGCTTGTTAGCAAACCCCTTTGATTTATTCATGTTCTGTATACACAGTATATAAATCGCTGTACAACCCGCGCTGCCTTTGTTACATGATAAAAGTGGAGGGGGCAGAGATTCGGGGTGAACACGGAAAAAGACCGGTCCTGGCTCACTCAGCCTTTAACTTTGTGTTTGCTTTGTGCTGGTCCTGGGATTTGAACTCAGGGCCTGGGGGCGCTGTCCCTCAGCCCCACCCCCCAGACACCTTCAAGGTTGGTGCTCTAACCCCTTGAGCCACAGCTCCCTTTCAGCTTTTTGGTGGTTCCTTGGTGACAAGAGGCTCACGGGCTTTCCTGCCTTGGGCTGGCCTCGAACCACGATCCTCCGGATCTCGGCCTCCTGAGTGGCTGGGGTGACAGGCGGGAGCCACCAGGCGCCGGGCCTGAGCTGCTCAATTTTCTTTTTTCCCCTTCCCTTTTCCGTGTTTTCCAGAATGCTCCAGGGAAGAGTGAACTTAATCGATGTGCAGAAAAGGATGCGGGTGTGAAATCAGCGCCGAAGCGACGCTGACATTTACATCCCAGCTGCCCGTTGACTTTTCCTTCCAGATTGTTTATATTTGGTTCAAAATAGAAAAGTCTATTCTAGGAAAATAAAGTTACTATGGCAACGTTTTCCCAGAGCGACTCTGAGTCCCAGAAACCGGGTCCCCCCCCCCCCCCCCATGATACGTAGGTAGCCGGGTACGAGGAGCAAACGCCAAGGAAGCCTGTTCAGCCGCCAGCCTGCCTTTCCAGTCAACCCAGTGACCTTTTCCACTTGGAAGACGATCACCGAGCCGGGCGCTGGCGGCTCCCGCCGGTCATCCCAGCGGCTGAGAGGCTGAGATCCGGAGGATCGCAGTTCGAGGCCAGCCCGGGCAGGGAAACCCCTGGCAAAACTCTGCGGGCAGAGCTGGGGCTCCAGAGGTAGAGCGCTGGTCTTGAGCAAAGGAAAAAACCAGCTCAGGGGCAGCGCCCAGGCCCCGAGTTCAAGTCCCACCACCACAAGCAACCACACACACCGAGGAGAGAGGCTCTGCGCTAGCAAACCACCTGACTTCACCCGAAATGTCCGTCCCCTTGAGGCGGGGGTGTGGCGTGTGCGGGCCGCGGGGCCCGAGCTCCGGCCTGGCGCCGGCAAGCCGGGCGCCCCACGGCTGAGCCACGGCGCCGCTTCGGGTTCCCGGTGCGGCACGGGGCGCAGCGTCTCCGGACGGCCCTGCCGGGGCTGGCCTCCAGCCGCGGTCCTCCGCGCTCAGCCTCCCGACGGGCGGGGGCTCCTCGCCCTCCGCGGGGCGCGGGCGGGGCACCCGACCCTCTCGCGGATGCGATGACGATGTCCCCCGTCCCCGGGGCCGCCGGGCGGGCGGGCCGGCCTCGCGCCGAGGGGCGCGGGCTCCGGCCTCCCGGAGGCCGGCGGTTCACGCGGATCACCTGGTTCCCTTCGCCGCTCCGGGCTGCGGGAGCTCGGGCCCGGGCGCGCTGCCCCTTGCCCCGCAGCGCCACCTCTGGCTTTTTCTGTCGACGGGGGGACTGAGGCCTCGAACCCGGGGCTCCGTGCGCGAGGCGAGCGCCCCTCGGCGGAGCCGCCTGCCCGGCGTGAGCGCCTGGCCGCGGGCCGCGGGCCGCCGGCGGGGGCGGGGGCCGGAGGAGGGCGTGGCCGGGGCCGCCGGCGGGGGCGGGGCCGGAGGAGGGCGTGGCCGCGGGCGGGGCCGGAGGAGGGCGTGGCCGGGGCCGCCGGCGGGGGCGGGGCCGGAGGAGGGCGTGGCCGCGGGCCGCGGGCGGGGCCGGAGGAGGGCGTGGCCGGGGCCGCCGGCGGGGGCGGGGCCGGAGGAGGGCGTGGCCGGGACCGCCGGCGGGGGGCGGGGCCGGAGGAGGGCGTGGCCGGGACCGCCGGCGGGGGCGGGGGCCGGAGGAGGGCGTGGCCGGGGCCGCCGGCGGGGGCGGGGCCGGAGGGAGGGGTGGGGCCGGAGGGAGGTGGGCGGGGCAGAGGGAGGCAGAGAGGTGGGCGGGGCGGAGGGAGGTGGGCGGGGCAGAGGGAGGCAGAGAGGTGGGCGGGGCGGAGGGAGGCGGGCGGGGCGGAGGGAGGCGGGCGGGGCGGAGGGAGGCGGGCCAGGACGGGGCCGGGCCGCGCTCCCAGCTCACACGCCGCCGCCGCGGGCCCCGCGCCTCTCCCGCTCGCGCTCCCGCGGCCGCCGGCCTTGTCTGGGTCGGAGGTGGATGGAGGCGGGCCGCGCTCCCGGCTCACACGCCGCCGCCGCAGGCCCCGCGCCGCTCCCGCTCGCGCTCCCGCGGCCGCCGGCGCAGGATCTGGTGCGAGGCCAGGAAGGCCACGCCCACGTGGAACAGGATCTGCCACAGGTTGCGCAGCCCGTGCAGGTAGGCGTTGCCCAGGCAGATGGACAGCAGCCCCAGCGCCGCCTTGGCCGTCCGCGCCGGGCTGTAGAACAGGTACAGGTAGCACTGGACGGGCGGGGGGGGGGGGGGGGGGGGGGGGGGGGGAGGGAGAGGGTGGGTCAGACGTCAACAGGTCAGAGGTCATCCTGCACGGGGCGCGGCCGGCACAGGGCATCGCCTGCAGGGGCGCGGCCTGCACGGGGCGTGGCCGGCACAGGGCATCGCCTGCAGGGGCGTGGCCTGCAGGGGGCGTGGCCGGCACGGGGCGCGGCCTGCACGGGGCGTGGCCGGCACGGGGCGCGGCCTGCACGGGGCGTGGCCGGCACGGGGTGCGGCCTGCCCGGAGCGCGGCCTGCACGGCACAGGGCGTGGCCTGCACGGGGTGCGGCCGGCACGGGGCGCGGCCTGCACAGAGCCGGTGCTTTACCCACCTGGAACATGCAGGCTGTGAAGGGAATGAAGAAAGCCAGGATGTTCCCAATCTCCTCGGGGGTGACCTGAAACCAGGATGAGGACAGGTGGGAGGCCGTAATGCCATTTTACTCCAGCTGGCCAGGCCTGGCAGCAGAGGCACCCGCCTGTCACCCCAGCTACTCAGGAGGCTGAGATCTAGAGGATCGTGGTTCAAAGCCAGCCCAGGAGGAAAGACTGTGAGACACATCACCAAAAAGCCAGAAGTGGTGTTGTGGCTCAAGTGGTAGAGCACCAGCCTTGAAAAAAGCTCAGGGAGTCAGGTGCCGGTGGTTCACGCCTGTAATCCTAGCCACTCAGGAGGCTGAGATCTGAGGATCGTGATTCAAAGCCAGCCCAGGCAGGAAAGTCCATGAGACTCTGATCTCCAATAAACCACCAGAAAACCAGAAGTGGCACTGTGGCTCAAGTGGTAGAGCACCAGCCTTGAGCTGAAGAGCTGAGGGACAGCGTCCAGGCCCAGAGTTCAAGCCCCACAACCGACCAAAAAACAAAAACAAACAAAAAACCTTCCTCTTGAGCAGGGCACCAGTGTCTCAACGCCTGTCATCCTAACTACTGAGGAAGTTGAGATCTGAGGATCTCAGTTCAAAGCCAGCCTGGGCTCCCCCCCCCTCCCAAAAAAAGTCTGAGATTCAATCTCCAATTAACCAGCAAAAAGCAGGGCTGGAGGCTTGAATCAGGTGGTAGGGCGTCAGCCGTGATCAAGAAAGCTGATCTGCAGTACAAGGCTGTGAGTTCAAGTTCTGGTGCCAGCACACACAATCACCATCACCATCCCCACCACAATGTAAAACCTGAGTTCACAATGACCTTATACTATAACATGTGTCCCTGGAAAAGGGGGGGGGTACCTGTACGGAGTGCTCTGCGAGGTGCACCCCGCGGATGAGGTTCAAGGCGGCACACATGATGTTCAGGACCAGCGAGAGGACGCCCAGAGCTGTCACAGGCTCCATTCGGAAATTAGGAGCTTCACAGTTGAAAAGAAAAGGTGAAAACGAGACACTATGCCATCAACTCAACCTCTGCTCGCAGCAGAAGCTTGCGCTGGTGAAACACAGAATCACAAATATGCTCATTTTTGCGGGGGAGCTAGTCCTGGGGCTTAAACTCAGAGGACCTTGAACTCAGGACTCCCAACCAGCTATTCTTGATCACGGCTGGCACTCTACCACCTGAGCCAAGCCTCCAGCCCTGCTTTTTGCTGGGTAATTGGAGACTGAATCTCACACACTTTTTTTTTTTTTGGACATGGACTGGCTTTGAACTGTGATCCTCAGATCTCAGCCTCCTGAGTAGCTAGGACGACAGACGTGAGCCACTCAACTAAGAAGCTTGGGGACATTGCTCGGGCCCCGAGTTCAAGCCCCAGGACTGGCACTAAACTCCATTAGCCAATCTCCCCTTCCAAATAGGAGCGACGGCTTACCTACGGGCAGCAGAGCCGGTGTTAGGAATATCCTGGATTGAAATAGAGAAAGCCAAAACCCAAAGTAAAGTAAAAGAAAAAAACCCAGGAAGTCTGTTTAGGTGCCAGTCCCGGGCCTTGAACTCAGGGCCTTCTGCTCCTAGCTTAGCTTTTTCTGCTCAGGGCTGGTGCTTGACCATTTGAGCCACAGGTCCACTTCCAGCTCTCTGCTAGTTAACTGGACATCAGAGGTGGACAGATTTGTCTGCCCGAGGGCTGGCTTTGAACCGCGATCCTCAGATCTCAGCCTCCTGAGCAGCTAGGATGACAGGCGTGAGCCACCGGCGCCGGGCTTCACATAAACATTTTTATCATACCGCTTTGAAAGTGCAAGAAAGAAATTTAGTATGACAGAAAAACAAATGATTAGGGCTGGGAAGGTGGCTCAGTAGTAGAGAGTTTGCCTAGCATGCACGAGGCTCTGGGTTTGATTCCTCAGTACTACACAGAAAAAGCCAGAAGTGATGTTGCGGATCAAGTGGTAGAGCGCTAGCCTTGAGCACAAAGAGGCTCAAGAGACAGCGCCCAGGCCCTGGTACTGGTGCATGGCTCCAGCCTGGCATCCCAGCTACTATGGACGCTGAGATCTGGAGGATCGCAGTTCCACTCACCAGGCTCGGAGTACGCAGGCGCATGACCGTTGGCCAGGGTCCCGTTGGCGGTATCTGTGTCTTCTAGGGTGAGGACGGTGGGGGGCAGGAACTGCAGCTCCTCCTGGATTTTCTCCACGCTACTCCTCAGCTGAGCGGAGCTGACGCAGTTAAAATGCCACTTGGTTTTCTGAATGACACTGTCTGCAAAGGAGAGTGGCCCACGGTGAAAAGGCTCAGCTGGAAACCCTGGGCCTGGGCTGGGAAGGTGGTTCAGGGGTAGAGAGCGTTTGCCTAGCATGCACAAGGCCCCGGGTTCGATTCCTTAGAAGCCACATAAACCAAAAACCAATATAAGAAGATCACATGTGTTCTGTGGCCTGCACGTGGCATCGTTGCTATCATCAGGAGACTGAGATAGGAGGATCACGGTTCAAAGCCAGCCCGGGCAGGAAAGCCTGTGAGACTCTGATCTGCCACGAACCACCAGGAAACTGGAAGTGGCGCTGTGGCTCAAGTGGTAGAGCACTTACCTTGAGCTGAAGAGCTGAGGGACAGCGCCCAGGCCGTGAGTTCAAGCCCCTGTCGAACTTTCTAGGCTGGTTGAATCATTTCGGTGACTTATGGCTAGCACAGCCCCAACCCCCTCCCCCATAATGACCAGAACCCCTCCCAAACCTGCATTGATGGCTCTACCGCACAGTGTGACCCTCCCTCCCGCCCCCCGAAAACAACAGGAGGTATCAGAGCGGGGTACCAACCGAACTCCAGGAAGGCGTAGGGGCGGGAGGCCAGGCGGATGCAGGTGGGGTCGTAGGACGTGGTGAAGTCCCACCAGAGTGTCTCCAGGAAGCAGAATGCCATGGCGGCCGGACACCGGGGGGAGCAGATAGCCAGGCAGCCCACGTCCCCGGCGGAGGAGAAGCTGAGACGCACAGGCGGTTAGCACACTCGTGAGGGCCACAGGATCCCACGGCCCCGTCCCCCCGACCCGGCCACAGCCTGAGTTCAACCCCCAGGCCTGTCATCCCAGCCGCTCAGGAGGCTGAGATCTGGAGGATCGCGGTTGGAGGCCAGCCTCGGGACAGGGGTGCTGCTCACTTACTAGATGCTAAAGTCGGGACTCTGGGCGGAGCCCCGACCGGGATACTGGGCCAAGCAGGAAGCCAGAGCCTTCAGCCGCCTCCGACACGCCAGGAACTCCTGGGCCTGGTAGAAGTCAGTGCTGGCAGACAGCGGCAGCCCATCCCTCACCCGAACCACGCAGGCGAAGACGATCACGGACATGGTCCACGGGAGGACTCATCAAGACATCTGCGGGGAGCACGGCGGCCACGTGAGCACGGTCAGGGGGCGGGCAGGCCCCCTCGGCGTGGCTTCCAAGGGCACATAGCTAAGTTGAACTCTAGGCCTGGGCGCTGTCCCTCAGCTCTTCAGCTCAAGGCTGGTGCTCTACCACTTGAGCCACAGCGCCATCTCCAATGAATTCAATCAGTGGGGAATAAGGGATAAGGAGGTAGATCAGGTAGGAGGTAGGGCCATCCGTAGGTTCCAAAAGCATCTTTGGAACAGCAGGGAGTAAAACACAGAGCTGGCCAGGTGCTGGTGGCTCATGCCTGTCATCCCAGTTACTCAGGAGGCTGAGATCTGAGGATCGAGGTTTGAAGCCAGCCTGGGCAGGAAATACTGTGAGACTCTTATCTCCACTGAACCACCAAAAAGTTGGACGTGGAAGGTGTGGTTCAAGTGGTAGAACATCAGCCTTGAGTGAAAAGCTAAGGGACAGAGCCCAGGTCCTGAGTTCAAGTTCCAGTACCAGCATGGCACTAAATAAAAATAATAAAGAGAGACAAAGAAAATAAAGAGAAAGTGAGGGATACTGCTGTATGTCTTGAAGTTCTGGAAATACTGGATACAATGACCAAGTTCCTACAGATGGACCCCAGAAGTCATACTGCCAATCCTATTATAGTAAGATACTAAATATTTGACTTGTTTATGAGAGAATAGTTAGAAGCAGAAGGAAACAGATCCGGAGCTCCTCACAGTGCCTGTAGTAAATCAGAAAAAAAAAATCCCTCTCAGATGCTTGGCACCCAGGAGCTCACAATTAGCATCCCAGCTCCTCAGGAGGCTGAGATCGAGAGGATCGTGGTTTAAAGCCAGCCTAAGCCAAGAAAGTTCATGAGACACTTATCTCCCACAAACCAGCTGGAAGTAGAGATGAGGAAGGAGAAAACGCTAAGGGAGAGCACCTAGGCCCTGAGTTCAAGCCCCAGGACCGGCACACACACACACACACACACACACAAAGAAAACAACAACAGGACCAGCTGACCACCCATCAGGGACTTCAAATGTGACCCGCCCCAGGAGAACTTCATCCCCACACAAAAGGCACTCAGTTCTGAGCACCAAGCCAACCAACAGAGGGCACAGGAGCCCTTTATGCCCACGCTGAGCACCACAGGGAATAGGGGAGGGGGGAGGGGGAAGGGGGAGGGAGGGGGGCGGTACTGTGACTTTTGCTCCCATTTGAAGTTGTTCAGTTTGGAAAAATGTTTTGGAAAAGCACGGCAGTGGGTGGGACCTGATGGCTCATGCCTGTAATCCCAGCTCCTCGGGAGGCTGAGACTGGAGGATCACTGTCTAAAGCCAGCCTGGGGCAGAACAAACCAACCCAAGAGATTCCTTTGTGTGTATGTGTGTGTGTGTGGGGGGGGGGGGGGGGGGTCCTGGGGCTTGAACTCTGGGCCTGGGTGCTGTCCCTCAGCTCTTCAGCTCAACGTGAGTGCTCTACCCACCTTGAGCCACAGCGCCACTTCCGGCCTTTTCTGTGTCTGTGGTACTGAGGACTTGAACCCAGGGCTTCCTTGCTCGCTAGGCCGAACGCTCTACCACTGAGCCACCTTCCCTGCCCAGAGTGCAAGTCTTGAGCGCAATAAAAGCTCGGGGATGGACAGCGCTTGGGCTCTGAGTTCAAATATCAGAACCAGGGGCTGGGAAGGTGGCTCAGTGGTAGAGCGCTCGCCTTGAGCTGAACAGCTGAGGGACAGCGCCCAGGCCCAGAGTTCAAGCCCCACGACCAGATCCAAAAAAAATAAATAAAAATAATAATGAAAAAATATCAGAACCAGCTTAAGAAAGACAAGGGAGGAAGGGAAGGGAAGGGAGGGAGGAAGGAAGGGAGGAAAGAAGGGAGGGAGGGAAGGGAGGGGGAGGGAGGGGGAAGGAGGAGCAGGAGGGAGGGGGGGGTGTTCAGGGATTCCCTGGGCGGGAAACGTCAGAGGGTAGGGGAGCCGGGGACCCCCTCCAGTCGACCCCGGGGGTGGGCGGGCCGCGCCTCCGGCTCCGATCCCCTCCCACACCCCCCACCCCGGGCCGGCCCTCGGCTTAGCGGACCTCCACCCCGCCTCCCCCCCGACCGGCTCTCACCTCGCCCCGACCGCGGCCTTCGGGGAGCCCAGCCCGTCACCTGCCAACCGCCTGGTGCACGGCCGGGCCTGGGCTGCGGCGCCCCATCCAGCCCGGGGCCGGGCCGGCCCGCAGGGCAGCGCAGGCCGGGCTCGGCCTCCACCTCCACCCCGGATGGGACGCAGGGCTCCGAGCCGGAGGGGACGTCCTGCGCAGGCGCGCGGGCGCCGCCGCCGCTCATTCGCCGTTGCCAAGCAACGCACATACGGAACGGACCAATCCTGGCACGCCGCTGCCACCTGCTCAGTTCCCTCCTCCTCTGCTCCCCCGGCCCCTCCCACCCCGGCGTCGGCGCTACTCATTCGTCGTTGCTAAGCCACGCCCATACCGCAACGAACCAATCCCGACGCGCGGCTACCACCGGCCCAGTTCACTCTTCTTTTTTCCCCGCCGCCCCGCCCACCCAGGCGCCGACGCCTCTCATTCGCCGTTACTAAGCAACGCCCCTACGGGAACTGACCAATCGCTGAGCGCGCACCTGCCACCGGTCCAGTTTCCCCCTCCTCTTCCCCCTCCTCTCCCCGGCCTGTCCAGAACTCCAGCAAACCCAGTAAGCGGTTCTTCCAGGGCTTGAGGCACCCCATGAAAACGGGGTGCGAGGAAGTTCCGCTGCTCGGCCGCCCGACTGCTCCCCAAGCCCGCCCTCAGTTGGAAATCTAGGCCTGTTCGTTCTCACCTCCTTCCTCCGGATGGCAGGCGATGCTGGGGTGGGGTGGGGTCACTGGGCACAGGCTGAGGAAGATTCGGGGTGACCGGACCTCCTGCACTTCCCGGGACGCGGCTTCTCGTCGTCTGTCAGGCTTGGAAGTGGGGTGGGGTGGGGGGAGGTGGTGGCCCTGAGAGACAAACCCAAAGAGCACGGCCTACTGCCAGCCTGGAAGACGGGGTGCCAAAGTCCGCCCGCAGCGGCCCGCCCCGGGTCGCAGGGCCGTGGGGAAGCCGGAATCGCCTGGGGCTTCTTCCTCCTTCCTTCCTTCCTCCCCCCCTCCTCAATAAGTGATTGTGCACTTGGCAGTTCTGCACACCTGCAGGACGCCAGTGAAGAACCTTCAGTCGCTTTAGTGGGGAGGGGAAAAAGGAGGGGGAAAGGTCACGGTAAGAGCCCCAAGTAAGATGTGTGAACAGGATTTACATCATCATGCAAAGGAGAACCAGAGGTTTAGATCTGCATTTGGGGGAGCAGGGAAAGCTTCCCTGGGTTTGCAGCCAGTTGGGCAAATAGAAGTGTGTTCGAGGTGGAGAGATAGATCAGCATTAGAAGAAGGAGAAGCAGAAGGGGAGGAGGAGGGGGGAGAAGGAGGAGGAGAAGAAGAAGAGGAGGAGGAGGAAGCGGAAGAAGATGACGACAACAGAGGCAGAGTAAGGGACAGGGAAAGTTAGTATTTTCATGAGTTCAGAATTTAAGTTGGGGAAGATATAGAAAGTTCTGGAAATGGACCAGGCACTGGTGGCTCATCCCAGCTACTCAGGAGACTGAGATCTGTGGATCGTGATTTGAAGCCAGCCCAGGCTGGAAAGTCTGGGAAACTCTGATCTCCAAAGGACCACTAGAAAACCATTAAGTGGCACTATGGCTCAAATCGATAGAGTGCCAGCCTTGAGCTGAAGAGCTCAAGGACAGCACCCAGGCCAGAGCTCAAGCCATATGCAAGAAAGAAGGAAAGAAAGAAAGGAAGAGAAAGAAGGAAAGAAAGAGAGAAGAGAGAGAAAGTCCAAGGAATGGATAGTACTGATGATGAGTGGATAATAATGTAAAAGTATTAAGTGCTACAGAGCTGAATACTTTAAAGATGACAACATAGAGTGTATCTTCTCTATAATTTGCCGAAAAAAAATAGCAAATTGTTAAAATAAAAACTGGATACAAGGCTGGGAAAGTGGCTTAGTGGTAGAGCGCTTGCCTAGCATGCATGAAGCCCTGGGTTCGATTCCTCAGCACCACATCCACAGAAAAAGCCAGAGTGGTGCTGTGGCCCAAGTGGTAGAGCTCCCCCGGCCCCAGCCTTGAGCAAATAAGGGAAAGTATCCAGGCCATGAGTCAAGTTCCAGGACTAGCACAGACACACACACAAAGAATCTGAAGCCTTGAAACTACTACAGGAAAATACTCGAAGATACACACATAGGCAACAATTTTCTGAATAACCTCAAAAAAAGGAGGAATGAAGAATAACAGAGGGAATACATTTAATCAAATGAAGTGATATGCACGTATGTAAATGTGACCACAAAACTCCTTTGCACAATGAGTACAAGCTAATTAATTTGTTTTTTCTTAGCCCTGCATCAGTTCCTAATAACAGCCATCCTACTAGGGCTGGGGGAGATGCGCTAGAGCTACGACCAGTCAATCACAGGCCTAGCCCCGCCCCCAGGGTTTACGCAAGCGCAAATCGCCCCAGAGCCCGAGGGGCGGGACCGGGGGTGGAGGGACCAAGTTGCTTTTGTTTTTGCACTTCCCAGCCACACAGAACGCCCCGCCCACAGGCAGCGTAGCCCAATCAGCATCTAGATCGTATCCCCCGCCCCTCGTGACGTCCATGGAGGCGCGCCGCCGTCGCGTGGGGACCGAGCGCGGGTTGGGCGGGCTTCTGCCGGGGAGTTCTCGGCGATGTCGGTCATCTTCGCGCCGGACTGGCTGCGAGGGAAGGCCAAGGTGAACCAAGAGACGGTCCAGCGGGTGAGCATCCTGGCGGGCAGACGGTGGGCCCCGGGGGGTTCTCAAAGCTTCTTGGAAGCGGGTTCGGAGAGAGATCTGAGGCGCTGGTATTCCCCCCACCTCCACGCGCATGCGCGCAATCCCCCCCCCACCTCCACGCGCATGCGCGCAATCCCCCCCACCTGCACGCGCATGCGCGCGCTGGGGTCCAGCGATCTGGAGCTCCGCGGGTCGAAGCCAGCCCGGGTGAACCAGTCTAGAGCCAGAAAGATGATGCTGGGAGACGCCACCCTGACCTCGCTCACTCTGCTCATCTTCGCAGCTCCTGGAGGAGAATGACCAGTTGGTGCGTTGTATCGTGGAGTATCAGAACAAGGGCCGCGCGAACGAGTGTGTCCAGTAAGTAACTCTCCCGACCCCTACCCCCCACATCCACACTTCCCGCCCTCCCCCCCCTCCCCATCTCCTTCCCCTGAAACGGAGCAAGGAGAAGTAGGTATGGTGGGTGGCTGGGGCCATCTCAAGCTAGCAATCTCGGGTGATGGATGGAGTCGAACCTCACTGTACAGTCCAGGAAAAGGGAGCCTCGAAGAGGTTTCCGTATAGACTCAACACCACCGAGCCCAATGCATTGTAGACCATGGAGTTAGATGGGACTCCCACTTCCAAACTTGATTATTCTCACTGCAAAGATGCCTTCACCTCCAGCCACGCCCAGCTGGAAGGGAGCAGACATAATGGTAATGCTCCGGAGATGGGAGCGGTGTGGCATTCTGGGACTCTCCTTCCTTCCCCCTGTCCTCTTAAATAAGAGAGTCAGCCCATATGGTTGCTAACCCCCTGCCCCCCCCCCCCCCATTCTTCTCAGTCATCCTCTGAGGGATACACAGGAAGATCAGCAAAAGACTTCCAGGTTAAGACTGGGTACTGATGGCTTATGCCTGTCACCCTAGCTCCTCAGGAGATGAGATCTAAGAATTGAAGTTCAAAGCCAGTCCCCACAGGAAAGTCAGTGAGACTGTTATATCCAAGTAACCATCAAAACAGCCAGAAATGGAAGTGTGCCTCAAATCGTAGAACACAGCCTAGTGCAGAGATGCTAAGGGACAATGCTCTGGCCCTGAGTTCAAGCCCCAGTATCATCACACACACACACACACACTTAGATACCTGCATTAATGGCTCACTAGATGTTAGAGGGAGGCTGTATATGATTAAGTGTATAAGTGGTTAGTGAGACTATAGCTCAATGCTAGAGCAGTTGCCTAGCATGTGAGTTGTTCCCAAGCACTACAGATGGGTGGGTGGGGCCTGGGAGGAGTGCTGGGTCTCTACCTCATAGCCAGGAGGACACTGGCCAGAATTCAGCCAAAGGTAAACTGTAGATGAGATCTGAGAGATACCCAGAGGCCACCATCATGGAGAAACTTACGGGACACAAGAGTGGTTTAGCTTTATTCTGAGATTTGAGTCTTTGAAGGCTACTGTTGTTGTTGTTATTTGCTGATCTAGGGGCTTGAACTGGGCGCTGTCCCTGAGCCTCTTTGTGCTCAAGGCTAGCCTTCTAGGCCTTTTCTATTGATACGGTACTAAGGAATCGAACCCCGGGCTTCATGCATGCTAGGCAAGCACTCTACCACTAAGCCACATTCCCAGCCATGCTTGTAGTCTTAAGCAAGAAATGATAGTGGCTTGTGGAAGTGATGAGTGCGTATGAGTGAGATTCTGTGGAAATTCTCCTGGAATATGTTAAAGCAGGGACTGGGAAGGTGGCTCAGTGGTAGAGTGCTTATCTTGCATGCATAAGGCCCTGGGTTCGATTCCTCAGCCCCACATAAACAGAAAAAAGCTAGAAGTGGTGCTATGGCTCAAGTGGTAGAGTGCTAGCCTTGAGCTGAAGAGCTGAGGGATAGCGCCTAGACCAAATTCAGGCCCCACAACCTACAAAAACAAACAAACAAAAAAGTTAAAGCATGAAGTTGCCAACACTGAATCATGTCATCAAAAGATGGGCCATCTGCCAGGCACCGGTGGCTCACGCCTGTCATCCTAGCTACTCAGGAGGCTGAGAGCTGAGGATCTTGGTTAAAAGCCAGCCTAGGCAGGAAAGTCCATGAAACTCTTTATCTCCAATAAACCATCAGAAAACCAGAAGTGGCGCTGTGGCTCAAGTGGTAGAGCGCTAGCCTTGAGCTGAAGAGCTGAGGGACGACAGCGCCCAGGCCCAGAGTTTAAGCTCCACAACCCACCAAAAAAACAAAAAAAAAAAGAGGGCCATTCCATTAAAGTAGATAAATTCCCAGCTTTTAGTTGGGGACCGGAAAACCAAGCCTTTAATTTTCACCTCTTTTTCTTTTTCTTCTCCCATAGGTACCAGCATGTATTACATAGAAACCTCATTTACTTAGCTACCATCGCCGATGCCAGCCCAAATGGCACTCCAAAAACAATGGAATAATCCTCTCTGGGTTGACTAGTAGGTGGAGTGAGTGGAATAAAATCCATTTCCCATGAAAGGCAGACTGCATCTTCACCACAAGTCTGCTGTGGAAAACACAAATGAAACTTCTGTGGTTTTTTTTTTTTAACTGTGAAGATAGCTATTAACTTGCCCTCCTTCTCAATGCCATTATTTATTTTAACAGTTAAGTAGACCTCTCACTAAACTTTGAAGGACTCAAGGCCTAGGACAACTAGCACTATTCTTTCCAATAAAAAGAATGATTTCTTAGTTATCATCTGATGTCACTTTATAATAAATGACGTGCTTTTGCCCATTTATCTGCAGTGTCTTTGCTGGCTTGTTTGCATTGGGAGCCAAGCAAGATGACATGTTACTTTCAAAACTACCTTCAGTTCGGGCTGGGAAGGTGGCTCAGTGGTAGAGCGCTTGCCTTGCATGCCTGAGGCCCTGGGTTCGATTCCCCAGCACCACATAAGCAAAAAGGAAAAAAGCCGGAAGTGGTGTGGTGTTGTGGCTCAAGTGGTAGAGTGCTAGCCTTGAGCTGAAGAGCTGAGGGACAGCGCCCAGGCCCAGAGTTCAGGCCCACGACCAGACCCCACTCTTCCCCCCAAAATATACCTCAGTTCCTCTCTCTATTCTTTGCCACAGGTTGAAAAATCTCAGTCCTTTCTCACAGAGTCTCTCCCAGCCTAGATTTACCCATGCTATTAATGTCCCATTGTTACCACAAGGTGGAGGAACTCATTTGAATATAAGATTCTGTTCTTTAGGTTCAGGGTACATCAAATGATACTTAATCTTGCCTCACATCAGAAATGACCTGGTTTAATTTTATATTTTACCAGTCATTAGGTAGCGCTGATTTTCTTTCATAACAAGGAGGTGGTACTGGTGTTTGAACGGTTCCTTGTGCATGCTAAGTTAGTGCTCTGCTACTTGAGCCACAGCGCCACTTCCAGTTTTCTGGTGATTAATTGGAGATGAGTCTCATGGACTTTCCTGCCCAAGCTGGCTTTGAACTACAATCCTCAGACCTCAGCCTCCTGAGTAGCTAGGATGACAGGCATGAGCCACTAGCACCCAGCTTGAGTCATTTTTCAAATAGGGTGTCCCATGTTTGACTGGGGCTGGCCTTAGACTACAGTCTATTATATCATAGGCCTGCGTATCTGGGATGATAGGCATGACTGCCATGTCTAGCTTGTGTGTTATGATGGGGTCTAGGTGCCTTAATTACTCCTTTAAATGGTTAAAACTGAAAGCTTTTTAGTGCATGGTTTTTTTACAGTTAAACGAACTTATTTTTTTTTTTTTTTTTGGGTCCGGTCGGCCTGAACTCTGGGCCTAAGCACTGTCCCTCAGCTCTTCAGCTCAAGGCTAGTGCCCTACCACTTGAGCCACAGCGCCACTTCCGGCTTTTTTTCTTTTTTTTGCTTATGTGGTGCTGAGGAATCAAACCCAGGGCCTCATGCATGCAAGGCAAGCACTCTACCACTGAGCCACCTTCCCAGCCCCAATTAAACGAATTTTTTTATTGGCCTGGTGGTTCATGCCTGTCATCATAGCTAGGATCATGTTTTAAAACCAGCACTGGCAGGAAAGCCTGCAAGACTCTTATCTCTGATAAACTACTCAGAAAAAGCCAGAAATGGCACTGTGGCTCAAGTGGTAGAGTGCTAGTCTTGAGTACAAAGAGGCTCAGGGGATGGTGCCTAGGCCCCGAGTTCAAGCCCCATGATTGACCCCCCCAAAAAAAATAGAAACTTAAAAGATGTGTCACTAATATGAAGAAATGATTAAGAATTTGTAAAGTAGCCCCCCTCCACACACAAACTCACTATGCCAAAGTGGATGAAAGATCATCTTCCACATGCTCCCAAAGGAGATTGTGAACCCCCAAAACTCCAAACACATACAGAAGTCAATGCTAAGATGACACACTTAAAACATAGACGTTATGAAACTTAAAAATTTCCAGATGGGATCAGGAGCTTCAAGACAGGCACGTAGGGGCTGGGAAGGTGGCTCAGTGGTAGAGCGCTTGCCTTGCATGCATGAGGCCCTGGGTTTGATTCCTCAGGACCACATAAGAAAAAAGCCAGAAGTGGCGCTGTGGCTCAAGTGGTAGAGCACTTGCCTTGAGCTGAAGAGCTGAGGGACAGCGCCCAGACCCAGAGTTCAGGCCCCATGACTGGAACCCCCCCCCAAAAAAAAAAAAAAAAGGTAGGTAGATATTTTCAAGCAGGGGAAAAACATCCAAACCTGAAAAGGGAAAAATAAAGAGAGGAAATGACTTCACCAAACTTTTTTTTTTTAAAGATTATTATAGGTTTATTAGAGGAGCCATATTTCCCCCAAGAAGGAGCACATGGCCTCCTCTCCATCCAGGTAGCAGGAGGGTCTGAGAGATAGGAAGTGAGGTAGATGGGAGTTCAGGTGGGTCTGGGCAGAGAGAGGGAGGGGCCAGCTGTATGGAGGGAACTCCAGGAATGAGGGGGGGGCAGGTTTGGGTGGAGCTGAGGACCAAAGGTGAGCATAATACAAACATTCCCCGCTCTGTTGTTTAATAAGAGTAGAGGGTAGCAGGCTGGGGGAGGGGAGAGAATGCCTGGAGGTTGTTTCTTCTGGAGCTACTTCCTGCTGTCAAGGGGTGAAGTAGTCAGGGGTCTCTGCTTTGTTGCTTGGCCTGGTACCATCCATGAAGCATCAGTTTGGTTGGTAAAGGTCCTCCTTTTTCCATGGCAATAGTTATCTTGGTGGTCCTCTGGCGATCGGAGTGTAGGATCTCAGGATAGGTCCCAGGGCAGCTGGTTGAATCCCCTTCCAAAGTGGAGGGGAGCCTATCCCCATATGGGCCATCAATGAAAGCAGATCCCACACATCCATCCCAGGGGACCACGCAAAGGCAGGGAGGCACAGGAGAAAGATTATTACAAGGTTTATTAGAGGAGCCATATTTCCCCCAAGAGGGAGCACAGGGCCTCCATCCTCATTCAGGTAGCAGGAGGGTCTCTTCACCAAACTTTTTTTTTTTTTTATTGTAAAGATACTATACAGAGGTTTACAGTTACATGAGTGAGGTATTGAGTATACTTCCTCTTGAACATTGTTACCCCCTCCATTGTTTTCCCCCTACCATCCCCTCCCTCCCTCCCTTCCCTAGGTTCTTTTTTTTTTTTTGTGATTAAGTGATTACATAATTTCAAAGTCACAAGTTCATTCTAACTTACCTGGAGCAAATTGTCTATCACAGTCTGTAATATATAACAGTGTTCACATGTTATATACCATATTTGTGATCAGCAGCATGGGGATATTTAGTAGTGGTTCAACTAGATGAGCGGGAGTTCTTTGTTTCTTAAGTCCTGTTAGTTTTGTCATATCACCTAACATTTTGGATTTAGCATCCACTTATCAGGGAGACCATGTACCGTTTGTCTCTTCGTTCTTGGCTTACCTCGCTCAACATGATTCCTTCTAGCTCCATCCGTTTCCCTGCAAATGCCATTATTTTGTCATTTCTAATGGCTGCATAATATTCCATTGTGTATAGATACCACAATTTTTGGATCCATTCATCTGTGGTGGGGCATCTGGGTTGTTCCCATATCCTAGCTATTGTGAACAGTGCTGCAATAAACACGGAGGTGCACGTGTCCTTGTATATTGGTTCCTGTTGTTCAGGGTAGATGCCTAGAAGTGGTATGACTGGGTCGTAAGGGAGGTCAATCTTTAGCTTTCTGAGGACTCTCCAGACTGCTTTCCAAAGTGGTTGTATAAGTGTACATTCCCACCAGCAGTGTGATAGGGTTCCTCTTTCTCCACATCCCCACCAGCATTTGTCGTTGGCTGATTTTCTTCACCAAACTTTTAAAACAAAGCAATGAGCCACCAGAACCCAGATTGGGAAGGCGTGACAGCATCCAAAAACAAAGGTACTGCAGTTAGCTGCACATCACCCTTACCATAAAAGACAGCACTGCGGGAAGGACGGCTTAAAAGCAGCTCACCACCACTACAAATGAAGCAACCGGCCATGTGCTCTTGCAAATTTCAAAACAGCTCCTTCACAGCCTTGGACACGCACTTCTCGCGATACTTGGGAAAGCGCGGCAGCAGCCCGCTCAGAAGCCTCCTAGCTAGTACGCGCGGCGCTCAGACCACGTGTGCGGGTGGGGGCGTGTCCAAGTAGCCTCTGATTGGGTGATGCAGCTCCGGGGGCGGGGTCTAGGGCTCTCCGTTATATATACCCGGAGGCAGCCGCCGGAGACGCTCACGTTCCCCACGGCTCCGGCCCCTCCTCTCGCCGCTGCGAGTCCCCGCCGCTGGGCTGTGCTCTCGCGGCGCTGGCCTCCGTTCTCGCGGGATCTCGCGTGGCGTCGGGAAGCCGGCCGCGGGGGAAGGAGGAGGAGCCGGCGCGGGTGGAGGGAGCGGCGGCGGCGGCGTTCCGTTACCGACGTTGGCTTCGCTCGGCGGTGGCCAGGCTTTGCTGGGGGAAAGGGGAGGTCAGCCAGGTGTGGAGAGCTTGCCGGGGAGCCCCGAGGATCCGGGGCGGGAGTGGGGCGCTCCCCGGGTGCGGCCTCGGGGCGCCGCGGCCTCGGGCTGGGCCGGGCCTGGGCTGGGTGGGGGGGGGATGGCGGCCTCCGCCTCGGCCCGCGCCCCGGGACGCGGGACCCCGGGACCCAGACCCGACCCGGCCCGGCCTCCAGACCCCGGCCCTGACCCCGGCCCCGGACCCCAGACCCGACCCGGCCCGGACCCCAGACCCGACCCCGGCCCGGACCCCAGACCCGACCCCGGCCCGGACCCCAGACCCGACCCGGCCCGGACCCCAGACCCCAGACCCCGGCCCGGACCCCAGACCCGACCCCGGCCCGGCCTCCAGACCCGACCCCGGCCCGGACCCCAGACCCGACCCCGGCCCGGCCCGGCCCGGACCCCAGACCCGACCCGGCCCGGCCTCCAGACCCGGCCCCGACCCCGGCCCCGACCCCGGCCCGGACCCCAGACCCGACCCCGGCCCGGCCTCCAGACCCGGCCCCGACCCCGGCCCGGACCCCAGACCCGACCCCGGCCCCGGACCGTGGGACCCCAGACCCAACCCCGACCCCGGCCCGGACCCCAGACCCCGGCCCGACCCCGGCCCGGACCCCGGCCCGGCCCTGACCCCACCCCGACCCGGCCCGGCCTCCAGACCCGGCCCCGACCCCGGCCTGGACCCCAGACCCGACCCCGACCCCGGCCCGGACCCCAGACCCGACCCCGGCCCGGACCCCAGACCCGACCCCGGCCCCGGCCCGGACCCCAGACCCGACCCCGGCCCCGACCCCGGCCTGGACCCCAGACCCGACCCCGACCCCGGACCGTGGGACCCCAGACCCAACCCCGACCCCGGCCCCGACCCCCAGACCCGACCCCGGCCCGGACCCCAGACTCCGGCCCGACCCCGGCCCGGACCCCAGACCCCGGCCCGACCCCGGCCCGGACCCCCAGACCCGACCCCGGCCCGGACCCCAGACTCCGGCCCGACCCCGGCCCGGACCCCAGACCCCGGCCCGACCCCGGCCCGGACCCCCAGACCCGACCCCGGCCCGGACCCCCAGACCCGACCCCGGCCCCGGCCCGGACCCCAGACCCGACCCCGGCCCCGGACCGTGGGACCCCAGACCCGACCCCGACCCGGCCCGGACCCCAGACCCCGGCCCGACCCCGGCCCGGACCCCGGCCCGGCCCGGACCCCAGACCCCGGCCCGGACCACAGACAGACCCCGGACCCCGACCCCGGCCCGGCCTGGACCCCAGACCCCGGACCCTACCCCGGGCCCCGGACCCCAGACTCGACACCGCCCCGGACCCCAGACTCGACACCGCCCCGGACCCCAGACCCGACCCCGGCCTGGACCCCAGACCCCACCCCGCCCCAGACCCCGGGTCCTGACCCCCAGACCCGACCCGGACCCCGGGTCCCTGGACCCCGCCCTGACTGCTCTTTTTCCCTCCTCCCTCTCCTCTCCCCCCCAGCTGGTGCTGCCAACCTCGGTCGCCATGGGGGCGCAGGACCGACCCCAGTGTCACTTCGACATCGAGATCAACCGGGAGCCGGGTGAGCTGGACATTTGTGTCGGGGGGTGGAGGGAAGGGTGAAGGGGGAGGGGACCGAGGGAGACAGCCCTCCCCTCTCCTCCCTAAACCTTTTGGGGAGCTGGAGACTACGGGGGAGGGGCAGCCTGTGGAGAGAAATGTGGTCCAGGTACACAAACACGCACACGCGCACACACACATGGGCCTATGGAGAGAAGTGTGGTCCAGGTGCACACACACACACCCGTGGAAATCCTGCCTTGCTCTTTTGTCTCTCTCTTGAACTGCACACCCCACCCACTCGGACCTGACCCCCGACATGCCCTCCTACCCAGCCTTGGCAACCAAGGAAAACGGGGTGCGCTCCTCCCTGTCTCTCTGTCTCTGTGTCTCTGTTTCTTTCTCTCAGGAGATCCACACTTCTGGTGATCCCCAGATCGGGGGAGGGTTTTCTTTTTCTTTTTTTTTTTTTGGTGGTAGTCGTGTTTTTTTAAGTGTAGGTCTGTATTCTGTTATTTCCAAAACTCACAGCAAGACTATAGATAAGCCAACTCTTGTTTTCCCATTTTTTTCCCCTTTAAAACTATATATTTATTTAGTTTTTGAGTCCTGGGGCTTGAACTCAGGGCTTGGGCACTGTCCCTGAGCTTCTTTTGCTCAATGCCAGCGCTGTACCACTTGAGCCACAGCGCCACATCCGGCTTTTTCTGTGTATGTGGTACTGAGGAATCGAACCCAGGGCTTCATGCATGCTAGGCTAGCCACATTCCCAGCTTTAGGGAAGGTCTTGAGATAAATCAGCATTCTTTGTAAGCAGCAGAATTGCAGGGGGAAAAGCAGAGGAAGAAGTAACTCCAAAAAAGAATGGTAACCCTTCTGTACAACACCTTAATAGTGGTAACACTACATATGTACACACATATGCATAAAAACAATGGTACCCTCTGTACAAGAATAACAGTAAAACTATATATGTATGTCTCTATACACATATGTACAAGGAATTGCAATGTGTATGTGCTTAACATTGGTGGTTTTTTTTTTTCATTAGGAGTTTATTCATCTATTCATTAATAGCTGGTTTTTTGTTTTTTTTTTTTTTGTTTTCATTCCAAAGGGTATGGTTTCATTCTGAGTAGCATGCAGGGGTCCAACCGTTTTCTTAGCTCTTTGGTATTTTTGGACTAAGTTTTGATTGAAGACGTACATATTATTTTTGTATATTATCTTTTTCTGCTTTGTTCTTACAAGAAAATTCCAGTGAACATCAGCATTCAGCCTTGAATGAAATAGCTGTTAGCAGGTGTCATCCTAGCTACTTAGGAGACTGAGATCTTTGGGTCACAGTTAGAAGCCAGCTGGGGCAGGAAAGTCTGAAAAGCTCTTATTTCCAATTAACCACAAAAAAGCTGAAAGTGGAGGTATGGCTCAAGTGGTAGAGTACCAACCAGCTTTGGGCAAAAAAACTTGCTTGCCTGCCTGCCTGTTTTCCTTCCTTCCCTTTCCTCCCTTTTTCTTTCTTTCCATCTCTTCTCCTTTTTCTTCCCTTTCCTTTTTCCTTCCGTTTTCCTTTCTCTTTCCCATCACCATCTCAGCCTCCTGAGTAAGTAGGATGACAGGCGTGAGCCACCAGCACTTAGCTTAAACTAAGATTGTGTAGCCGTGTTAAATACTTCCTTCTGAGGGATTTGTCCATATTGCTAGCTTTTCAAATAGCTACAGACTTCTCCAGAAGTTGGAGAAATGTTGGATGAATTTCAGCATCACACATGATTCATAGTAACTGATAGAAGAGAGTAACATCTGAGAACAGTCACCAAAGCAAGGAATGTTTACATGGTTTTACCTTGAACCGAATGATAATTGGCAATTTCATATGGTTCAGTCTTGTATAATACTTAACTGATACTTCTGAGAATATTGCCTAAGAGCCAGGCACTGGTGGCTCACGCCTGTCATCCTAGCTACTAGGAGGCTGAGAGCTGAGGATCACGGTTTGAAGCCAGCCTGGGCAGAAAAGTCTGAGACTCAAACTATAAAAAGCTGGACGTGGAACTGTGGCTCGAGTGGTAGTACACTAGCCTTGAATAAAAAAGAAGGTCAAGAACAGCGTCCAGGCCCTGAGTTCAAGCTCCAGGACGGTAAAAAATAATAATTACCTCACAAGTTACCTGACCACTGAATGAAAGTTTTTTTTTTGTTTTTTTTTTTTTGGGTCCTGTCGTGGGGCCTGAACTCTGGGCCTGGGCGCTGTCCCTCAGCTCTTCAGCTCAAGGCTAGCACTCTACCACTTGAGTCATAGCACCACTTCTGGCTTTTTTTTTTCTTCTGCTTATGTGGTGCTGAGGAATCGAACCCAGGGCCTCATGCATACGAGGCAAGCACTGAGCCACCTTCCCAGTTTTATTTTTTTATGCTACTCCTGGGGCTTGACCTCAGCCTGGATGGTGTCCCTGAGTTTTTGTGCTTATAGCTGGTTGGTGCTCTACCACTTGAGCCACAGTTCCACGTTTTGTTGGTTAATTGGTGCTAAGAGTCTCAGTCTTTTCCTGCCCAGACTGGCTTTGAACTTTGAACCTCAGATCTCAGCCTCCTTATTTAGGAGTATAGGTGTGAGCCATAGCCTGGCATTTTGGTGGCTTCTAAGCAATTCATGCATTTTACCTAAGCTGTCAGATTTATACACATAAAGTTGTTCTTCATCGTCTACTCATGTGCTATCTTTCATTTGTGATATTGGTAAAGTCTGTCTGCTTTTTTCTGTTTAGAGGTTTGCCAAAGAAACAGATTTTAGTCTCATTGAATTTTCCCCTGCTCTTTTTCTGTTTCAGATTTCTGTTGTTTGGGTTTTTTTTTTTAAATCTTTTTAAATATCATTTCTAGTGCTTTGCTCCTTTTTTAGTTTCTTCAAGCGGAAGCTTACCTCATTCACTATGATTCCTTTTCTGACATAAGGGTTTAATTATATAAATATAGAGGGAGATTTACAGATATCTGACAAATTTTGATACGTCTGTCATTTTCTTAAAACTGCAGGCTATTTCTGATTTTCTGAGACTTTTTAACTTACAAATGACCAAGAAGTGTTGTTTTTTTTGTTTTTTGTTTTTTTTTTTTGTCGGTCGTGGGGCTTGAACTCTGGGCCTGAGCGCTGTCCCTCAGCTCTTCAGCTCGAGAGGAGCGCTCTACCACTTAAGCTACAGTGCTACTTCCAGTTTTGTAGTGGTTTATTGGAGATAAGAGTCTCACAGACTTTCCTGCCCATGCTGGCTTTGAACCGCGATCCTCAGATCTCAGCCTCCTGAGTAGCTAGGATGACAGACGTGAGCCAAAGCCATCGGTGCCCGGCAAGTGTTTTAACTTTTAAGTGTAGAGGTTGCATATCCTTTATCAGAACTCACAGGACTAGAAGTGTTTTAGGAAATTAAGATTTTTGTGGATTTTGGAACATTCACATATACATAATAAGGTATCTTGGGGATAAATAAATTCCAAGTCTAAATATGGTGTGTCTTTTCATATTTGTATTATACATGTAGTCTGTTAAGCATGCAGGTTTTTGTTGTTCTGTTTGTAGTAGTGGGGTTTGAACTTGTATTCTCACTTAGTAGACAGGTTTAAAGTGGCTTTCTTGTAGATTGCAAGCAGATGGATTTTATTTTGCTTGTTAACTGTATTTACTGTGTTGCAATGTCATTTTGTTTGTTCTTAACTATATTTAATAGGTTTCTTGTGCTTGGATTTGTCTTTATTTTTCAGTTATTTATTTGTGGGCTTTTTGATTTGTTTTGGTTTTTTTGAGACAGCCTCTCATTGTGTTGCCCCAGCTAGCTTCAGACTTTTTGAAACCCACACATTATATTTTCTGAACTGTTTGGGGTGAGTTGCTTACGTCATGGCTCTTTGTCTTGAAATGATTCATTGTCTTTTTTTTTGTTGTTTGGTTTTTTTTTTGGTTGGTCATGGGGCTTGAACTCTGGGCCTGGGCGCTGTCCCTCAGCTCTTCAGCTCAAGGCGAGCGCTCTACCACTTGAGCCACAGCACCACTTCCGGGTTTCTAGTGAGTTTTATTGGAGATAAGAGTGTCATGGACTTTCCTGCCTAGGCTGGCTTTGAACCGCGATCCTCAGATCACAGCCTCCTGAGTAGCTAGGATGACAGGCCTCAGCCTGACTCATTGTGTATTTCTTATAGGGACACTGTCTTATGTAACTCTAATACAGTAAGTAGCTCGTCAACTACATCTTTACAATATATACCTATTGTTTTGGTCAGGTAGCCTAAAGTCATTTATCACATACAGAATCCATTTAAGCATCAGATGCTACTTTTAGCTCTTATGTCCCTTTATCTTTTTTTTCTTTTTTCTTTTTTTTTGCCAGTCCTGGGACTTGAACTCTGGGCCTGGACACTGTCCCTGAGCTTCTTTGGCTCAAGACTAGCACACTCTACCACAGCGCCACTTCTGGCTTTTTCTGTGTATGTGGTGCTGAGGAATCAAACCCAGGGCCTCATGCATGCTAGGAAGCACTCTACCACTGAGCCACCTTCCCAGCCCCTTTGTGAATCTTACAGTGCAGCCTTTTTTGGGTCTTTTAGGATGGTAATATTTTAGAATGTAACCCCCTTTTCCCCTTTTAAATAGTACATTAAGCATTTTGCATTGTCAGGGGCTTAAACTTGGTTTTTAAATGGGATAGCCAGGGTCGTTTCTTTAGAGGCATGTTTATATACATCTGACAGCAAAATCATAAATTCTTAGCAGTGTATCAAAATCGATCACAGTGAGCTGGGTTGAAATGGATATATTTACTTTCTGTTTAAGATACAGGAAAGACTTGAAAGTGTTGTCCTCAGTAAATAAGCATATTAAAGTATTGAGAAGTGATGTCTTGGTTTTAAGAGATCATGTAGTTTTCAGCGAATGTTTTGAGTAGTACTTGTGACCCTGCCCGAGCTATTTAACCTCTTTGTAAAGTGGAAGTCCTGTGCACTTTTTGTCTTAATACAGTTCTAGAAGATAATACTGTAACAAGCTAGTCATAGTCACAATTCAAAATTTCCCTTCAAACTTTAGACAGCTCAAACTCAAGACAGCTCATACTTGGGGGATGGGATTGGTACTACAGTAACGAACGTGCATACCTCCGAAGCTCAGGAACAGAAAGTGAACGCCCTGGCTTACACTATTAAGTTTAAATGACCTCCTTGTTTTTTTTTTAATTGCTCATGAGTGAACTAGGACACTCGCTGCCTGTCTAATAAATTTGGATTGTTGACAGGAGTTCCTAAACAGTACAACCCACCTGTCTTATACACGGTATTTTTGTAGTATGAATTTCAATGGGATGGATTATAGACAGAGCATGATTTTAATAAGGCAGACTAATTTTAATTAGTAGTGGAAAAGTGGGGGCGTGTGGGAGGGAGGAGCAGCTTGTGGGTTCACCAGCCCTACGGCCCCGACAGTGATTTCATTTCACAGAGCTGCAGGAAGCAAACATGCTGGCTGATTGGTTGTTTAAGATTTTTTACAGCTAAATACATAATTTTAGCATACGATACTCATAAAAATATAGTTGTTTTATTTCCTTTTTTTGTTGTTGTTGGTTTGCGGGGCTTGAACTCGGCCTGGGCGCTGTCCCTCAGCTCTTCAGCCCAAGGCTGGCGCTTTACTACTTGAGCCACAGCGCCACTTCCAGTTTTCTGGTGGTTCATTGGAGATCAGAGTCTCACGGCCTTTCCTGCCTGGGCTGGCTTGGAACAGTGATCCTTAGATCTCAGCCTCCTGAGTAGTTTAGGATGATAGGTGTGAGCCATCAGCGCCCGGCAGTTGTTTTATTTCTTTAGAGTGCATTCAGAATACAAGGGGGAAAAAAAATCTTACTAATACTTGAAATTCTCTTGTCTTTCTCTGTCCTCATTTTTAATGATGATGCAATATTTTCTATTTTTTTCTTTTTTTTTTTCTTTTTGCCAGTCCCAGGGCTTGAACTCAGGGCCTGGGCGCTGTCCCTGAGCTGCTTTTGCTCAAGGCTAGCTCTCTACCACTTGAGCCACAGCACCATTGCCTGCATTTTCTGTGTATGTGGTGCTGAGGAATCGAATCTGAGGCCTCAGGTATGCTAGGCAAGCACTCTACCACTGAACCACCTTCCCAGCCAAAATTTCTTACAATTCTGAAACCACATACTTGCAGAACAGCCTATGTTTGTAAAGTACCTTGTGCAATATCACACACACACACACACACACACACACACACACACACACACACACACACACACACACACACACACACACACACACACACACACACACACTTTAATATTACCTAAGGGAAAAAAGCCCAAAAAACCCTGCTTTTATTGCATGTGGGCTGGGTGTCAAGTTAAGGGTAAAGCCTTCCAGAACCTGCCATTTAGCTTGAATAATCAGCGGGACATAATACTTACTCAGATGGCCAGTTATGTAGTCCTCCTCTACCCCCCCCCCCCAAAAAAAAAAATGTTAACTGGAATAAGCAGGTTTGAGCTGCAAAGGTGCTTTTTAATTCGGCAGAGGATTGGCAGGACCTGGGTTACTGACGAAGTTCTCCGGATGGAAGGAGAGTGCTTTCCAAAACATTTTCTCAGAAGCTGCACTCAAAAACATCTCATTGTGGGCTGGGGCATTGGCATCGTGATAGAGCACTTTCCTAGCATGTGCTGACCTGGGGAGTCTGGTGTGGGACATGGCATAAGCAAACAAACAGAATAAACCCCCTAATTATAAGCAACCCCCTAGCTACGTGAGCCTGGCTACTGACGGCGTCCAACTGCTTGCTGGGCAAAAACAAAATGAGACCTATGTTAAAAGAGCTACACAAGAGGGCTGGGTGCGTGGTTTAGTGTAACCTGTCTACCTAGCAAGCACTGAACTCGTGCGACCTCCAGAGTCTCGCGATAGAACCTAGGCTTGGCTTTCTTGGAATTGAGGATCCTCCTGACTCCCCAAGGCTGGGATGACAGGTATCTGTCGCCACACTCAGCCGCGTGAGAGTTTTTCTAGAGATGTTACCGTTTCCGGGCCATTGTCAATTAGGAATCCTGAGCCCTCTTCCCTTCTCTGGAGATTGGAGGATGGGGCTGAACTTCCAGGCCTTTCTGGTTGACCAGTCCCCATCCTGAAACTGGCCATGGCCAGAAGTTGTCTCTATAGACCAAAAGATGTTTTTGTTATTTTTATTTATTTTATTTTTGTTCATCACGGGGCTCGAACTCAGGAGAGCCTGGGTGCTTTCCCTGAGCTCTCCACTACTTTGAACCCTACCTCTCTTTCTGGTTTTCTGGTGGTTCATTGGAGATGAGAGTCTCATGGACTTCCCTGCCTAGGCTGGCTTCGAACTGCGATCCTCACATCTCAGCCTCCTGAGTTGCTAGAATGACAGGCGTGCATCACCAGCACCTGGTTACGAAACAGATTTTTCTGTTTATATCTGTTTGCCTATTTTTGTTTCCTCTGTATAAAATGTTACATTTATTATGATCATTATGTAAATATTATATTATTAATATGTATTAATCAACTTGCTGTTCTTTTTCCTCCCCCCAACCTGTTTTCATTTCAGTTGGTCGCATTATGTTTCAGCTCTTCTCAGACATATGTCCAAAAACATGCAAAAATTTCCTCTGCCTATGTTCAGGTAAGGGGATTTTTTTTTCAGTTATTTACCTTTTTTTTAGCATAGTAGATATTTTCATGAAATATAATGGTCTGTGAGATGAGATTATACCTCAAAACTGCTTTTCACTAAGCCTTCTCTGTGAGTTAAGCCAATAGCTCTTTAAATGAAAAGGGGAGAGAGAAATGCTCTTAGAAGTGGGCACAATGGCTGATGCCTGACATCCTAGCTACTCAGGAGACTGAGGTCTGAGGATTGTGGTTGGAAGCCAGCCCTGCAGAAAAGTCCCCATGAAACTCTTACCTGCCATAAACTACTCAAAAAAGCCGGCCGGGGTGTGTGTGGGGGGGTGTGGGAGAGAAGGGAAGGGATAGTAAGGGAAAAACAAAGGAGAGGGTAACAATGCTCCATAGGAAATGTACTCATTGCCTTACTCATGTAACTGTTACCCCTCTATACAGTAGCTTTACAATTTAAAAAAAAAACGTGTATATATGTAAATATATGTATACATATATACATATACACACAGGTATATATATAAAGCTATATATATATAAAGCCAGAAGTGGCACTGTGGCTCAAGTGGTAGAGTGCTAGCCTTGAGCACAAAGACGCTCAGGGACAGTGCCCAGGCCCTGAGTTCAAGCCCCAGGACTGACAAAAAATAAAATTATGCGCCTTCACCATTGATTTGTCTTGGTAGAAGTTTGCTGATCGCAGTACTTTGAATATACTCAGCACCCTAGATTTCATTCAACATGATTTGGCATCCATATGCTATTTGCTATTTTGTGTGTTATATATATATACACACACACACACACACACACTTTTTTTTTTTTGGTAGTGTGTTAAATTTCCATGCCATCTCCCCATTTCTTAACATCTTAGGTGGTACCCAGTGCATAGGAGAGGTGTGTGGGTAGTGGCACTGGGGCTTGGTAAGTGGGTGCTTTCTCACCTGAGCCACACCATAGAGTTGATTTGTTGGGTTCTTTGCATGGAAGGACGGGTTTGTAGCTAAAACTTTGTTTCTTTTTCTTCTTTTTTTTTTTTTTTTTTCCTTCCCAGGGGAGAAGGGCCGTGGGAAAACCACTGGAAAGAAGTTATGTTATAAAGGCTCCACATTCCACCGAGTGGTTAAAAACTTTATGATTCAGGGTGGGGACTTCAGCGAAGGTAGAGCCAAAAGTGATGTTTCTAATTCTTGCAGCCACCAGGTGTAAACTAGCTCCTCATTCTTATTAGTGCCGATGATGACAGTTGCTCGTTATTCTTGATTAATGACCGTGGTTACATCTTGTAGCTCCAGAATGTGTGCAGGAGTGAAATACTATGACATTATAATTTTACTTTTGTCATGTCATTTACTCGACTCATGTAACCACTTAGGCAAATGCCCAAAGTACTGTCCAGTTGCATTTATCCTACAGCTTAGGAGGTTTTGACGATTGTTAGAAATAACTGGCTGGTGGCGGTCCTTTGGGGATGGAGTACTAATATTTTAAAGTTCTGTGAGGAGTCTTCAAATGCTGGCTGTTGGCAAATCGAAACCATCAAAAACAATTTGTAGCTGGGCGTGGTGGCGTGCGCGTATAATGCCAGCCCTCGGGACACAGATAAGAGATTCATGAGTTTGAGGCCAGCCTGAGCTACCTAGACCCTCTCTCAAAAATCAGATTAAAACAAGATAATTTATATGTATTAGTTATATGCATGATGCGTGTGTATGTATAATATCATGTGTTTCAGCTTTCACTTTGCTTAATGTAGCTCTATTTGTAGGTAATGGCAAAGGTGGTGAATCCATTTATGGTGGCTATTTTAAAGGTAAGGCTTCATATTTTACGGTCTTCTCAGTTCTGATGATAAAACAAGTCCAGTTTGGCCATATACCTTTTAATGAGGAGAGGCTTACTGATAGTTCACTTTTTGCATGACACTAATGCTGCATGAAAATACTTTATTTGCATGAATTTGGGGATAAATTGTACGGTAATCTATAACTTTTAATTGACCAGATTAATTAAGGCTAACTTTATGGTTAAACATGACTTTCAGCATGGAGGTTAGGCAACTATATACATGAAAACTCCTCTCTTCCTGCCTAAAACTGTCAACATATTCTTTTGTTTATAGAGAATGTGGTCTTTTGCAAAATGAAAAGGTAAGAGAACGAAGCTCAGTAACACAAACTCCAATTCTGTTCCCTTGCACCCTTACCTAATAAATTCGTGGACAGTCTGGGTCAGGATTGTTGCTGGATTTCTATTTTGTGTGAAGACTTGGAAACTTCTTTATGTTATTTCCTACATGCATCTGTATCTGTTTTCTTTTCCCAATGAGTTGTTACTGCTACATCAGGAAAAAGAATCTGGGTTGTGGATTTTTTTTTCCCCCCTCCCTCAATCTAGCAATTTCTTTAAAATACAATGATATTTCCTCCTTCCTCAAAGGTTTGTATGTTTTCTTTTGTATACTAAAACTATGTGATTGTGTTTTATTCCTACAGTAGTAGCAGTTGAATAAATCTTAACTATTGAACTTGTCCCCCCAAAAAGCCTTAGAAAAGTCAGTTGCAGAGATTCATTAAAAGAAAGAAAAAAATCCACTAGGTTTAATGCCATTAAAGCTGCAGTATTATAATAGTCTTTTATATTTCCTTTTGGGAGAAAATGGATTACTACTTCTTTTTGAGAGACCCTGTTCCCAAGGTAATATTTTTTCCAAGGTTTTGTTTTTTTCCCTCTGGTTTCTACTAAAGAAAGATTTGTTTGTATTAGTGTGAGAAGGGAGCTCGGGTTAATTTGAATGAAGGGTGTTTTCGCTGGAAGGAAAGTCATATCGAAGCGACTTTGATGGCAGATTTTCCCCTCTCATACCTCACTGTGTCTAGTTAGTAGCATGTAGCAATTTCACCTTAATGCCTAGCCCACTTCAGTGTATTTGTTCCATGACCAGCTACTTTAAAGATGGTGTTTTGCCACTTAAATTTTTATTTTTACAGAACTTTCTTTCTTAGATAATTTTGTGATCCTATTGATTATCCATATACTTCATTTTAGACATGTTCCTAAAACTTCCTCTGATTCCCCCCCCCCCCCCCCCCCCCCCAGACTAGCTTTTGTTTTTGGTCACTAACAGATTTACCGACAACTGAAATGTCTATATACGAACTATACCCGGGTGTAGTTCATTTGGCTGGTTAATTGGGAGTTTAAAAGAAATGAGTTGTTTTTTGTTTTTTTTTTTTGAGAGTTCCCTAAAAGCTTGTCATTAGTTTTTCTCTGCAAGTTAACATGTATCATTTAGCCACGGGTATGCATGCAACTAAAAGTGACTATTCTAAGGCTTGTCTGTATAAAGTATTCAATATATGTTCCTTTTTCTCAAGGCTTTAATTAGTACCTTTGGGCTTTTTATGCTTTGATGAACTTGATTAGTTTATTAAAAGAAAAAACTACTTTTTTTTTTTTTCTCTAAATGTTGTCAAATAACTATACTGACCAGAAGAGGAATCCCGTCCTTTGCTTTCTGTGTATTACTTGAACATGATCACTTGGAGAGTGGGTTATCGCGGCAGGCTGACGAATTTGTGTTTTCTTCAAACAGATGAAAACTTTATTCTCAAACACGATAGAGCGTTCCTTTTGTCAATGGCAAACCGCGGGAAGCACACCAATGGCTCCCAGTTTTTCATGTGAGTAGGCGTGGCGCAGACACGACCCTTTCCTCCCAGAAGCGCTGTCCTTAGGAAAGGTGGCGGTCCTTAAACTAATTCCACTGTGGAAACGCTAACTGCTTAGGTCTCATGATGGATTTCGCACATGGCACGCCAGTCAGCTTGGGCTCCCTCAGCGTTCAGCACGTATAGTGGGGTTTACGATGTAAGAACAGGAATTCAGAAACGAAACCTTGAAGCAAGAGGCAAGTCCTAGCCCCTGCAGAGGCTAAGTTCTGAAGATCGGGGTTCAAAGCCAGCCAGGGTAGAAAAGTTCATGAGACTCTTGCCTTCAATTAACTACCCCAAGAAAAGCCAGAAGTGGAGAGGTATGGTTCAAGTGGTAGAGTGCTATCCCTGAGCAAAAAATGCTCAGGGACAGTGCCCAGGCCCTGAGTTCAAATCCAGGACTGGCACACACACACCCACAAAACAGAAAGGAGATATGTATTCTTTTCAGTATATATAAGCTTGTCATCATGAGGGAAGAAAGTGGCTTTGGCTCAGTTTATGAAAACTAGATTGGAATATAAACTACTGATGAACATTTAAAATTGTTAATAAGTGTATGGCCAGATATGGCGTGAGCATAAGAAGTTGGTTCAAGGAAGCCGTTGTGAAGTGGCTTTTTTTTTTCCTCCTATTTTTCCTCATTGAGCCACTTTTGAGAGAAGTATTGTTCTTTTCTGATGAGATACAGAAACACAAAACAGATCGTATGCTGAGCCAGCATTTGTAAAATCTGCATAATTGAATTAACCCAAGCGGCGGTGGGTATCTTCTGCCAAAACTATATGAGATTTTCATTCAGCACACTTGAGAATGTTGAAATTAGCTTTTTAACTAAATATATATGTGTATACATACAGGCACACACACACACATATAATTACCTAGTTATACGTGCATAACCTTATTTCTCATGCTAAAATTCTAAATAGAACCTTCAGCCTGTTTCTAGTTGTATTCTTTTCTTGTTTTGTATTGCCCCAGGACTGGCCAAAAAAAAAAAAATCGCTTTGAATTTGCACCCAAGAGAAAGTTCTCTGATTTTAGTTTGGTGAAAGTCTAGTTTGAAGTCAACTTCCAGGAAGGTCTTACATTAACAAGTAGTCTTGAAAGTAGTTAACTATTTTACACAGACAAAATCCTCTGTCTCGGGGCTGGAAAGGTGGCTCAGTGGTAGAACTCTTGCCTTGAATGCCTGAGGCTCTGGGTTCGATTCCTCAGTATCAACATAAGCAAAAAGAAAAAAGCAGGAAGTGGCGCTGTGGCTCAAGTGGTAGAGCGCTAGCCTTGAGCTGAAGAGCTGAGGGACAGTGCCCAGGCCCAGAGTTCAGGCCCCACGACTGGACCCAAAAAAAAAAAAGGAAAATAAATGAGTTCCCACGAGTTGAAGATAAACTCAGATTAATGTTCCTATTTCTGAACAAATATATTGTGACTACCATAGAAAGAAAGGTCAAACAGAGGCAACAGCCCATAAAAGAGCAGCCCTTGCAACTGTATGTCCTGGCGTCCTTTTGGATTTGGACATGATAATAAAGCGTCATGTCCTGTCTCCAAGCTGTGCTTGTAGTCACGGATCATTGCTGCAATGCAGCCTGGAATCTCACAAAGAACAGATAGTGTAACTCAGAAGAACTGACCTCCAAATCTCAGAAGGACTCTTCATACTCTTGTGTAGAGTTGTATTTGTAGTTTGTTTATACCACAACTCTGCAATTCCTAAAGAGTCCATTTGTAGCCAAGCGCAGGTGGCTCACGCCCGTCATCCTAGCTCCTCAAGAGGCTGAGATCTGAAGATCACAGATCAAAGCCAGCCCAGGCAGGAATAGTCCAAGAGACTCTTTATCTCCACTTCCAAAAAACTTTATCTCTAAACTTCCAAAAAACAAAAACCAAGAAAAAAGCTGGAAGTGGATCTGTGGCTCAAATGGTGGAGTGCTAGCCTTCAGCAAAAAAGAAGCTGGGGGACAGAGTCCAGGCCCTGAGTTCCAGCCCCAAGACTGGCAAAAAAAAAGAAAAAAGAAAATTCTGTGGTTTGCCTCGAAGCAGTTTGAAATGAATTCAAAGACCCGGGGCAGAGTGAGCTACCACCTTACCTCACTTCGCATTTTGTAGTGCTATTACTAATAATGTCAGGAAGAGAGTACAAGAACAGGTCCACCTGCTTATGTGGCTCAGTGGTACATGGCCTGCACACCCAGGCGAGATTGCCAACCCTGTGCAAAAATACAGTAATAATAAAATAGTACATTTTAATTCTATAATTCTAGGGAATTATAGTCTTAGAGTGGAAAGGGATTTAGCCATCATCTAGAACACAGTTTTCATTGGGTAGGTAATTATGAATTAAGTGGAAAAAATCACGTGAAGTCCAAGTTGTAGAAGCTTTAGGGCAAGAATGCCTAAGCTGTGTCTTTAGTTATAAGTACAACCTATCATTTTATTAACCATTATGCTACAAAAATTTTTGTAGCTAAGTGTTTGATGCAGTCAGCGCTTTGCTAGGAAGTTAAATTATATTTTGGGAACAGTTTTTTCCTCCTGTTACTAATAACAACTCTGGTGTGTGCGTGTGTGTGTGTGAACTCATGGCCTTGAGAACCTTCCTAGACCCATGCTTCTAGCCCTGGTCATTTTCATTGTCTTCACATAGTTATCAAAAAGATAAAGAAGGGTTGGGAAGGTGGCTTAGTGGTAGAGTGCTCACCTAGTATGCATGAAGCCCTGGGTTGCGATTCCTTAGTACCGCATACACAGAAAAAGCCAGACATGGTTCAAGTGGTAGAGCAATAGCCTTGAGCAAAGGAAGCTCAGGGACAGTGCCCAGGCCCTGAGTTCAAGCTCCAGGACTGGCACAAAAAAAAAAAGAGCGAGATAAAGAAGCCATTACATAGTGATTTCAGAAGATGAGGTAGAATTTTATACCTTTTGTTATTAAATAACTTTTCTAGAATAGAACAGTAAGCTGGCTGTCAGTTGATTTTTTTTGTTTGTTTCATTTCCTATGTATTTTGCCTCCTATGAGTGAGTTTTTGATTCCTTTAAAGTTCCCTACTCTTAGAGATAAACGAGCACACATTTTGCTGTTAGAACACAGTCATAAAGACCTGTTTTGTAAGGTGATTTATGTGCAGACATTCTCTCACTGCAAGGAAATGCTTGCTTTGAACCTGCCAGGTAGGGACCTCATAGAAGTTTGTAGAATCATTTTATGTCCAGGAAGCAACAGACTTACCAGTTTTCTTTACCCAAATGAGGGTTGATCACTTCATAGATAAGAGTACAGGCTAGGTGGTAAGGGTAGTCTCCAAGGGCTCAGAAAGCTACGTAAAAATTCGGTGTAGCGAAACTAGATGTAAGGGGCCAGGCATGGTGGCTCATGCCTGTAAATCCTAGCTACTCAGGAAGCTGAGATCGGAGGATCGAGGTTCAAAGCCAGCCCAGGAGGAAAGTCTGTGAGACACTCATCTCCAATTAACTACTCAACAAAGCTGGAAGTGGGCTAGAAATGTAGCTTAGTGGTAGAGTGCTCACCTAGCATGCATGAAGCCCTGGGTTCAATTCCTCACTACCACATGCACAGAAAAAGCCGGATGTGGCACTGAGGCTGAAGAGCTGAGGGACAGCCCCTAGGCCCTGAGTTCAAGCCCCAGGACTGACCAGAAAAGTAGGTGTAAGAGTAGAAACATTTTTCCATCCACACATTCATAAACTTGAAAAGACATGCTAGTAAATATTAATAATCTTGAGATATTCTAAATGTCTTTTTTTTTTTGAAAAGTGAATACAGAAGAATTTTCATATATAGTTAAATACAGATCATGTAGAATTTTTTGTGACCAAAGACACTTAACCAACCCCATGCCAGCATCTTTGAATATCAAACTTCCTCTTTCGTCGTGTTTATGAAGCCTGGGCAGGAAATGTTGGTAGTGGTTGATAGGTGTGAACCTTTATATTAGTGCTGGATTTTAGAAAGTTCTTCTGTTTCGGGCCAGTACACTCGGGTGCCTCTTGTGTGACAATATCATAGTTTGAAGACTGGGAAAAAAAAGTTGTATGTTAAAGGCTAAATTAGAAATAAACTAGGGACTGGGAAGGTGGCTCAGTGGCAGAGTGCTTGCCTAGCATGCATGAAGCCCTGGGTTCCATTCCTCAGTACCACATACACAGGAAAAAGCCCAGAGTGGTGCTCTGGCTCAAGTGCTCAGGCCTTGAGTTCAAGTCCCAAGATTGGCAAAAAAAAAAAAAAAGAAAGAAATTATCTTTACTTCCCTATTCCATACTCATTTATACCTAGAATACTTTTTTTTATCATACTCATTGAAAATTATACATGATTTCAAACTTTTTTTTTTGCACAAATCCATGTATCATTACTTTCACAAGACATTAAAGCTTTTATTTTTAAATACTTTAAAATTTAGTATTTCTTAAATTCCTGTCAAGTATTAGGATTTGGGAGGGGTGAGTGGTTTTAGGTATATTTAAAGTTTACTCCTTTAAAATTGATCAGTGTGTTTTGGGAGGAAAAATTAAAACAGATTAGTTGGGAAAAGAAAATGCTGGGACCAGGATTGGATAGCACAGTCGTAACCTGTTTTGCCTTTTTTTTTTTGGTCATGGGGCTTGAACTCTGGGCCTGGGCGCTGTCCCTGTGCTCTTCAGCTCAAGGCAAGCGCTCTACTGCTTGAGCCACAGTGCCACTTCCAGTTTTCTAGTGGTTTATTGGAGATAAGAGTCTCATGGACTTTCCTGCTCGGGCTGGCTTTGAACCGTGATCCTCAGATCTCAGCCTCCTGAGTAGCTAGGATGACAGACGTGAGCCACCTGCGCTCGGCCTGTTTTGCCTTTTTATCTTCTGAGAAAACCTGTCCCACTAGGCCACTTGATCATTTTCACATTACATTGAGTGATGACAGCATGGAGTACAGAATGAGATTTAACAAGAAACACTGAATCACTGGTTCCGGGAAGAATGACCCATAATCTAAAAAAGCTTGCAAATGTGAAACGTGAAAAGCTTCCTTCACGCTTGAAGGGAATTAGTTTGAAACAAAACCATTAAAAAAAAAAAAAAAAAGCCGAGAAATTCTGTTTTGAATTTGCTTACATTTCCTCCCCCCATGAAAATTTCCATTTTTAACCAAAAATAACCTCCCTAACACTTGAGATTTTTTTTTCCATGTATGCTTCTATTCAAGATATTTTACTCCTTTGTTTTTAAGGCAGATTGGGTAGTTGTCTTAGCAGTTTCTGGGATTTGGGGGGGGGGGGACACGAAATGTGGTGTTAATAGGTGTTATTGACACGTTTAGATCTGAACATTTGTGTCAGCTACCTCCTCCCTCCCTTCTTTCCCTGAGCATCTGTCTCTCCCAGTGCCCGGAACGAAAGAACATTTCCAGCCCTCCCTTTTAAAAAGCTTTCTGGCTTTGCATAAGAATTCTAAAGTATTGAATTTCAAAGTGATATTGATATTAAAACATAGATTCAGTCTTGTCTTAAAAGTGTATTACAATTTATTTCTTGCCATTTTTGTGTAAAATTTACAGAAAGAGTGTTACACCGTGCGCTTCAAAGGTAATGTGTCACTACTCTTAAGGCTTTCTCTTTCTCTCTCTCTCTCTCTCTCTGCCTTTATCTCTATAATCCTGTTGTTATGTGCATTGAAACTTTGTTTTTAAGAATTTTTAAAGCCTTCTGCTTGGTGTATATAGCAGCGATAGTAGTAAGACAAATGTGTTTTATATTGCTTCTGGGAAACAGATTTTTCTTTCAGCAGTGCATTGGCACTAGGTTATTCGCACGATTCTTTCTTACCATGTGAGATCACGGCTCGCATTTCCATGCTCAGCCAGTCAGTGCTGCTGCTTCCCTGGTGATATACAGAATACAGGTGCTACTTTGGAATAACAGAGCGTTTCCCTTTCTAGAATCTACAAAGTGTGAAGGAAGGAGGGGTGCAGGAAATTGAGAGGATCGGTTTAAGGGACAAATTCTAAACCTTGGAAGGTTTTATGATGCCAAATGTTCTTTTCTTTTTTAATGATTTCTTCCCCTGAAGCGCATGCTCAGCCTTCACATTTATGACCATCTCTGGCCTTCCTGCACGTGTTAGTGTATTGTCCTTTTGCAAGGCTGCATAGCTTTGGAAAGATGAATGCAGTTCGGGTCTCTGCCCATTTTAGAGTTGATGAAGCCAACCATCCCACCCCCATCAGTGTGACGGCACTCGGCTCGTGCTGTCTGCCCAGCACCAGTAAAAAGCCTGTGGAGGTGGAAATTTCCTTCCCCCTGGAGAACATAGGCTTCTTTGGATTAAATCACTTGCAGTATTCCTAATATGTCATCACGCCCGGTTAAAGTCCAAATTCACACTCCTGCAGAGCAAGTGAAATGATTGAGGTCAGGGAGGATATAGATTGAAAACTGTCCTTCCTAGACAGTTGGCCTGGTCTGCTGTGTTCTCTTCACCGCTGGAGAAAAGGACCAACTTTGGTTATTCTTCAGGTTTTGTTTGAATTTAAACAACAAAACCAGCTTTGTGCTGAACATGTAATTCCTTAGCACAGGCAAGGAGCTCCGTTCAAGTCCAGTCCTGAAATTAAACAAGAACTCTGGATCGTACAGGTAGCAAACTATAGCCAAGTGGCACTTTGCTGTATCACGGAGTTAGCTAGCATGTTTTTGCCTCCTCATTTTCTCCAAAAGTTTGTCAGAAGGTGTTTTGTTGGTTGGCTAGTTTGTCTGTTTACAGTGTTTCTCTTAGCTTAAGATGACAAATTGACTTGGGCTTTGTGTGTTCTAGAACAGTCCATCGACTTTCCCCAGTGCCAGAATACATCAGCACTCTGAGAAAGAGGATCGCAGAAGGCTCAGAGAAGCCATACATTGTGTTCCTTTCTTTGAGACTGATTTCTTACCTTTTTGAACACATTATATACGTCTTTTATCTCAGAGAATCGGTGTCTATCTAGCTTATTTGCCACTTTGCTCTTACTTTCCCTGAGCTTTGGTTTTATAAAAAGGAAGGAAAAAAAAAAGTTAGTTTCTAGTTTAATGATCCCAAGCGTTGGTGACTGGCAGGTTGGCTCGGTTTTGTTTTCTTTCCTTCTTCTCACTTTCTCGCTCGTTGCCTGTTTGTATTTTTCTAACTGCACTAACTGGACTGCACAGTCTCCTAAGGCAGATGATGTGAGACTTGTGCTTTGCCACACTTTTCTCACGTTGCCGTTTTATTTTACTTTCTTCAAGTTAAATATACTGTAGTCCTCTTACAGAACTGAATGCTCTTAATGTAAGTATAAGCGGCACCCTCTGCCGCGGTGACGTTTTCCGATTGTCGTGCAGGTTGAAATTGTGTTTTGTGGATCGTGTGTCTTCTTACTGCCTTGAAGATAGACGAATGGAAGGATTTAGCTGGGGGCTTCTAGCCGGGGGACATTCATCTCCCGCCTCTCAAGTAGCTGCTAACCAAAGTAGCACCCCGAGTCCAGTTAGCTGCCTTTGAATTTTCCCCCTATAGTTGGGGTAGCATGAGTCCCCAGCACCTTGGCCACACATACACACACACTGACTGTGGAGGAGGTCAGCGTGGGGTCTGGGGGGGGCCCTGGGAATCTTAAGAGGGCAGTGTGCTCCCCCATCTGACATCAGAAGAGTTGGCACAGGGGACGTTTTGTGCACTCAACTTTTCAGAGTTGTGAAGGAAAGGGGCGGGAAGCCCCGCAGGCAACTCTCTCGAGGTCTTCATCTGATCTGCCTGTGTAAAAGATGGCAGACCCACTGAGCAGCAAAGAGAAGACCTTGGTTAAGGGTACAAGGCTAGCCTTCACACCCCCCCCCCCCCCCCCCCAGGGCTGCAGGAGCTCCTTTGCCTTGTTCAATGATGCTGACAGATCTTTGAGGGTTTGTGTTTGGTTTTTTTTTGGTTTTTGGTTGTTGTTTTTTTTTAAATTAATTTTTCTTCTGTTTGGGGCTTGAGCGTCATTTCCATTCTAATGTGTATTTATGCTCTCCATTGATAGCTGTTAACTCCAGCGCAAGGTATTTTCGTGTTCTGCTGTGCATATTATCTAGTAAAGATGACTTTGTAATTATTATAATCTTGATTTTCTTTTCTTTGTTTGAATCAGTAAGTTGGCTACTATTGCTGTTTTGGGGGTCTTCAAGACTAGATGTATATCCTGTTTAACATTTTCCCCTTTCTTTTTTGTTTTGTTTTTGTTTTTTTATCTTTGCTTTCTCCTCCCCGTGCTGTGTTTAAACCCTCTGCTCTCTTCATCTGAACGTGTGGTTTTTGATGTCATCTCTCTGTTGGTGTTTGTCACACAGTACTACAAAACCCGCTCCACACCTGGATGGGTAAGCACCCCTTCTTTAGTAGCTTGGGCAGCAATTTGGGGAGTCAGCCTGGTGGACAAATCTCAGCAGGGCACTCTGGCTGGAGCTCAGTTTCTCAGGTCCACGTGGGGTTGCAATCATTTTGAGATTTCCCCAAAGGGTCCCTCAAAAAAAAAAAAAAAGTGGCTTTTCAGCTGCGCCAGTGGCTCACGCCAGTCACCCTAGCTACTCAGGAGGCTGAGATCTGAGAATCCTGGTTCAAAGCCAGCCCAGACAGGAAAGTCCTTTAGACGCTGATCTTCCATGAACCACCAGAAAACCGGAAGTGGCGCTGTGGCTCAAGTAGTAGAGGGCTAGCTTTGAGCAAGAGTTCATGGATAGCGCCCAGGTCCCGAGTTGAGGCCCCACGACTGACACCTTCCCCCCCAAAAATGTGAAAGTTTTCTTCCTATCAAGTGCGATTTAACTTGTTAATGAGATCATTTACACTGACGTCGAAAGCCAAGGTCCAGACGCTCAAAGCGGGGTGGTTTCCTTCGATGTCGAGTTCCTCCCCTCTAAGTTCTCCTGTCATCGCTGCTTCCCTCACCCACCGCTCTGTGGTGACAGGGTCCACGTGGTGTTCGGCCTGGTGATCTCCGGCTTCGAGGTCATCGAACAGATTGAAAACCTGAAAACAGACGCCGCAAGTCGCCCTTACGCAGATGTGCGCGTTATCGACTGCGGGGTGCTGGCTACCAAGTCCGCGAAAGATGGTGAGAACTCTCCAGATTGGGGGGGCGTGCTTGAGACACTGGGGTGAGGCAAGCATGGATGCCCCTCATGCACACAGACCTCCTAGACACTGACGAGCGGTACCACCAAAGCGCGCATGCGTGTACGGCAGAGGTCTTGTGAGAGAGAAAAACCTTGTCATCGCAGGCCGGACTCAGAGCAGGATCCTCACAATAACTGCCTCGCCCCTCTCCTTGCTCTGATCACCTTTTTTTTTTGGTCAGTCATGGGGCTTGAACTCTGGGCCTGGGCGCTGTCATTGAGCTCTTCATCTCAAGACAAGCGCTCTGCCACTTAAGCCACAGCGCCATTTCCAGTTTTCTGGTGGTTTATTGGAGATTAAGAGTCTCACGGCCTTTCCTGCCTGGGCTGGCTTTGAACCGCGATCCTCAGATCTCAGCCTCCTGAGGAGCTAGGATGCCAGGTGGCAGTCTGTGACACTGAACCTTCAATAAGTCACTCCAAAAAAGCCAGAAGTGGTGCTGTGGCTTAGTGGTAGAGCGCCCGCCTTGAGCTAAAGAGCTGAAGGACAGCGCCCAGGCCCTGAGTTCAAGATCCAGAGTCGGCCAAATAACAAACATTACGTGCTACTTAAAGATCAGATTGTTGTTGTGTTTGTTTTTTTACTCTGAAAGGTAGGTGCTGGCATCTAGCACTAATATTTCTGTCAAATATTGTTTTCAAAGCTATTGAGAAAAAAAAGAAGAAAGCAACACCTTCAGAAGACTCAGCGTCTTCTTCCAGTTCCTCTTCCTCTTCCTCGTCCTCCTCAGACAGCGAAATCGAACGGGGACGGAGCAGAAGACGGAAGCGGAAGAGGAGGCCAAAGGTCAAACATTCAAAAAAGCGACGGAAGGAAGCCAGTAGCTCAGAGGAGCCGAGGAACAAACACACGCTGAGCCCGAAGGGGTAGGTGTTAGGTGTAGGTGTGGCCTGCTGACACGCCTTTCCTCCGGTCCTCCACACACACCCCAGCCGAGGGGGAGAGGTGCAATTCCTTACTCAGGTTTGTTACCTGTTGTTAAAAAGGATAGCATTTTTGGACTTCAAGTGAACTGAAATCTGGACAGTCTAGGAGTATTATAGACATATTCTATCCAAGATTTGTGTGAGGGCTGGGAAGGTGGCTTAGTGGTAGGGCACACGCCTAGCATGCATGAAGCCCTGGGTTCGATTCCTCAGTCCCACATACACAGAAAAGACTGGAAGTGGTGCTGTGGTTCAAGTGGTAGAGCGCTAGCCTTGAGCCAGAGAAGCTCAGGGGACAGTGCCCAGGCCCTGAATTCAAACCCCAGGACTGGCCAAAATAAAAAAAAAAAGATTTGTGTGTTTTCTGGTTAAGTGTGTATGTGTTCATGGCCTTAGGATTCTAGCCATGTGCTGTTCTACTTGAGCCATGGCCTACTTTATTTTTCAGATAGGCCCATACTTTTTTCCAGGTTGACCTTGAAAGTTTTGTTTGCTTGGGGTTTTTTTGTTGTTGTTGTTGGTCATGGGACTTGAACTCAGGGCCTGGGCACTGTCTCTGAGCTTCTTTTGCTTAAGATTAGCACTCAACCACTTGAGCCACAGCTCCACTTCCATTTTTTGAGTGGTCAATTGGAAATAAGAATCTCACAGGGACTCTTCTGCCCAGGTTGACTTCAAACCATGATCCTTAGCTCTCAGCCTCCTGAGGAGCTAGGATTGCAGGTTATGAGCCACCAGGTGCCCAGTGGGGTGTTCTTTTTATTGTTGTTGTTTTTGTCAGTCCTGGGGCTTGAACTCCGGGCCTAGGTGCCATCCTTGAGCGTCTTTTGTTGAAGGCTAGCATTCTTAACACTTTGAGCCACAGCTCCACTTCCAGCTATTTTAGTAATTTATTGCTTTTCTGCCTGGGCTGGCTTTGAACCACTATCCTCAGATCTCAGCCTCCTGAGTAGCTCGGATGACAGGTGTGAGCCACCAGTGCTTGAACTCACCTTGACGTTTCTTCTTCATTGGATCTTTACCTTCCCAATAGCTAGGACCACAGAGTAGCTGGTACCGCAGGTTTGCGTACCTAGCTTCCTTTGTTTTTGTGTTTGTTTGTTTTGCCAGTCCCAGAGCTTGAACTCAGGGCCTGGGCACGGCCCTTGTATTTTTTGACAGTACTAGAGACTGATCTGGGGGCTGTGTGCTTGCTAGGTAGGTCCTCTCCCATCGGAGCCCCGCCTCCTGCTCTTTTGAATTCAGTTTTCCAATTAGGGTCGCAGTTTGATCACCCACCGTGCCTAGGTCATTGTGTTTCCCCTGTAGCTAGGATAACAGACCTGAGTCATGTAGCTCTTGGTTGACACGGGGTCTCTGAGCCTTTGGTCTCCTGCTTGCCCTCCCAAGCAGCTAGGATTCCAGGCGTAAGCCACTGCACCTGGTTCGCTGAGTTTTGTGGTGGGTTCTCTGTAACTTGCGTTCGGGTTGACCCATGAACGGTTTTCCTTCTCACGCCACAAAGGTAGGATTGGAGACAGACGCACCATTCCCAGGCCCTGGAAAGTTTAAGAAGAGGCTGTTAAGCTTTTGAGACTTTCCACAGCTCAATTTTAGGGTACCAAGGTTTTCACTGTGTGGATGTCCACTTGATGAAAGTTGACCCTTGGAGTGACACCTATAAGCCACAGGCAGCTTACCTCCCCCCCTTATCCCCTCTTTGGTCGATCATGGGGCCTGACTCTGGGCCTGGGCCTGAGCTCTTCAGCTCAAGGCTGATGTTCTACCACTTGAGCCACAGCACCACTTCTGGCTTTTTCTGCTTCCGTGGTGCTGAGGAATCGAACCCAGGGCCTCATGAATGCAAGGTGTGCGCTCTACCCCCTGAGCCACCTTCCCAGCCTTGTTGTCATCTTCACGTCTAGTTCTGCATGCCCTTTATTGTGATGAAATGCACGCGTGACAGGTGTTCACGGGCGGCTTGCTGTTTCTTTCCAAGTCACTCTGAGCGAAGCGATGCCAATGAGAAAAGGTCCGTGGAGTCCAGTGCCAAGAGGGAAAAGCCTGTGGTCCGCCCGGAGGAGATCCCGCCAGTGCCAGAGAACCGATTCTTGCTCCGAAGGGACATGCCCGTGGCGGCTGCAGAGCCCGAGCCGTAAGTGCCCTGAGTTCAAGCCCCAGAACCCGAAAAAAATAAACCCCAAAAGCGTGACATGTATTTCACCTTTTAGAATTCACCTTCCACCCAAGTCCTGGGAAGGAGATTGTGCCCGTTGGTTAAGGAGTGTGGCGGGTTCTTTTGAAATAGGGTCTTCCTCCTTGGCCCAGGTTGAATCTCAACCTGCTGTGTAGCCCAGGCCGGCCTTCACCTTGTAGGCCTCCTGCCTGAGCCTCTAGAGGACACGGGATTCCCTGCAAGGGGGGAGGGGGGCCTCGGGGGGTGCGGGAAGCGGTGATGACTGTCATTCGGGGGTGAGGCTGTGGTTCTCACAAGAGGTGAATTCCATCCACCTGAGTGATTGAACTCTGTTTTGCTCTGTTTTTGGGGGGTGGAGGCAGGGCCTGGGTGCTCTGCCACCTGAGCCCAGCGCCGCCTCGGGCCTTGGGCCGTGCAGGAGCCTCCCATCCCATCCCATCCCATCCCATCCCGTCCCATCCCGTCCCGTCCCGTCCCGTCCCGGGCTCCTGCGCGGCTGGGGCGGTAGCGGTGAGCCCTGGGCCACCAACGCCTCTACACCTTCACCTCTACACCTTCACCTCTACACTCACCTCTACACTCACCTCTACACCTTCACCTCTACACTCACCTCTACACCTTCACCTCTACACTCACCTCTACACTCACCTCTACACCTTCACCTCTACACCTTCACCTCTACACTCACCTCTACACCTTCACCTCTACACCTTCACCTCTACACCTTCACCTCTACACCTTCACCTCTACACTCACCTCTACACCTTCACCTCTACACTCACCTCTACACCTTCACCTCTACACCTTCACCTCTACACCTTCACCTCTACACCTTCACCTCTACACCTTCACCTCTACACCTTCACCTCTACACCTTCACCTCTACACCTTCACCTCTACACCTTCACCTCTACACCTTCACCTCTACACCTTCACCTCTACACTCACCTCTACACCTTCACCTCTACACCTTCACCTCTACACCTTCACCTCTACACTCACCTCTACACCTTCACCTCTACACTCACCTCTACACCTTCACCTCTACACCTTCACCTCTACACCTTCACCTCTACACCTTCACCTCTACACTCACCTCTACACTCACCTCTACACCTTCACCTCTACACCTTCACCTCTACACTCACCTCTACACCTTCACCTCTACACCTTCACCTCTACACCTTCACCTCTACACTCACCTCTACACCTTCACCTCTACACCTTCACCTCTACACTCACCTCTACACCTTCACCTCTACACTCACCTCTACACCTTCACCTCTACACCTTCACCTCTACACCTTCACCTCTACACTCACCTCTACATCTTCACCTCTACACTCACCTCTACACCTTCACCTCTACACCTTCACCTCTACACCTTCACCTCTACACTCACCTCTACACCTTCACCTCTACACCTTCACCTCTACACCTTCACCTCTACACTCACCTCTACACCTTCACCTCTACACCTTCACCTCTACACTCACCTCTACACCTTCACCTCTACACCTTCACCTCTACACCTTCACCTCTACACCTTCACCTCTACACTCACCTCTACACCTTCACCTCTACACTCACCTCTACACCTTCACCTCTACACCTTCACCTCTACACTCACCTCTACACCTTCACCGTGTCTTCTTCTCCAGGAAGATTCCCGATGCGCCTCCCGCGGCCGGCGAGCCCAAGCCGTCCCTGTCCAAGTCCGGGCGGAAGATCCGAGGGCGGGGTACCATTGTACGTGCGGGGGTCCCCCCAGCCGAGCCCGCGCCCCTGCGGGTCCCCCCGGCCCGCGCCCTGCCCCCCCGGCCCGCGCCCCTGCGGGTCCCCCCAGCCCGCGCCCTGCCCCCCCGGCCCGCGCCCCTGCGGGTCCCCCCGGCCCGCGCCCTGCCCCCCCGGCCCGCGCCCCTGCGGGTCCCCCCAGCCCGCGCCCTGCCCCTCCCCTCCCATCCCCCCCACCCCCGCGGCCCGCGGCCTGCCGCCCCGCCAACCGGCCTTTCCCTTGCTGTGCGCAGCGCTACCACACGCCGCCGCCCGCCCGCTCCCCCGAGTCGGAGGCCGCCGACAGCAGCGAGACGCCGCCGCACTGGAAGCAGGAGATGCAGCGGCTGCGCGCCTACCGCGCCCCGAGCGGGGAGAGGTGGAGCAAGGGCGACAAGTGAGCGAGCGGCGGGCGCCGTGCGGGCCCGCGGGGGGGGGGGGGGGGGGAGGGTGCGGGGCGGGGGCCGGGGGGGAGGGGGGTGCGGGGCGGGGCCCGGCCCGGGGGGGGGGCGGGGCCCTGGCGCGGCCTCGCTCCCGGCGCCCAGGGTGTGGGTGGCTGGCAGGGTAATGCGTGTTGGCAGCGCGTGCGATCGTGCGTGGCCCCAGGCCCGGGCTGTGAGGACCGCAGTTGCGAGCCAGCCCGGGCAGCCAAGTCTGAGGCTCCCCCGAAACCAGCTGCCCCCAGAACCCGCCGGGCGGGGGGGGGGGGGGGGGGCACCCGCGCACGGAAAAGGCCGCACGTGGCGCCGCGGCCGCGTCCTCGCGCTCAGTCGGGACGGCCCCTCGTGGGGAGCGGCCCCTCGTGGGTCTGGGGCGCCATTGATGGATTGGCCTCCCTGCCCCCAGTGCCAGCGTTTGCGGCCTCGGCTTCCCCGCACTGGGGCGGCTCCCGGGGCGGGCGGGGCTCCTGGGGCGGGGCTCCGGGTGGGCGGGGCTCCGGGTGGGCGGGGCTCCGGGTGGGCGGGGCTCCGGGTGGGCGGGGCTCCGGGTGGGCGGGGCTCCGGGTGGGCGGGGCTCCGGGTGGGCGGGGCGGGGAGCTGCGGCCTGCGCTCCAGCCAGGGTGCTCGGGCCTCCGCGGCCGTCCCCGGAGCAGGGCATGCGGGCGCCGGGCCTGGTTGGGCGGGCGAGGCCGGGCCGGATCCCCCACCGAGCGCGTGGCCCTCGTCCTCTCCGCAGGCTCCGGGACCCGGGCTCCAGCCGCTGGGACGAGCGCAGCGCCTCCCCGCGCTCCGGCTCGCGGTCGCACGCCGGTGGCCGCTCGGAGCCGGGCGCGGGGCGGCGCGGGCGGCGCGCGCGGGAGCGGAAGGCCAAGCGCCGCAAGAAGGCCCGCAAGCAGAAGCGCGGCCGCCGCCACCGGCCGCCAGAGCCCCCCGAGCCGGCGCGCGCGCGCTCCCGCCGGGCCGCCTCCGCCGCCTCGGCCTCCTCGGCCTGGACCCGCTCCGGCTCCCGCTCCCGCTCCGGCTCCCGCTCCGGCGGGCGCGCGCCCGGCTCCTCGGCCCCCTCCAGCCGCGCCTCGCCGCGCCCGGGATCCCGCTCCGGACCCCGCTCCCGCTCCCGCTCGGCGTCCCGGTCCCGGGCCAGCTCCCGCTCCCGCTCCGCATCCGCCTCGGTCTCGCGCTCGCCCAGCCCGGCCCGGCCCCGCTCCCGATCCCCGCCGCGGGCGCCCGCCGAGCCCGCGCCGGCCAGGGCCGCGCCGCCCGCGCCCGCGCCCGCCGAGCCGGTGGCCGTGATCCCGCTGAGCGACAGCCCGCCGCCCTCGCGCTGGAAGCCCGGCCAGAAGCCCTGGAAGCCGTCCTACGAGCGCCTGCAGGAGCTGCGAGCGCGCGCCGCACGCCCCGCGCCCGGCCCCGCGCGCCCCGCGCCGCCGCGCCCCGCGCGCGCCCGGCCCCGCCGCCGCGCCAGCGTCGCCTCCCGCTCCTCCCGGAGCGCGTCCTCGTCCGGCCGCTCGTCCTCACGCTCCCGGTCCCGCTCCCCGTCCCGCTCCCGATCCCGCTCCAGGTCCCGATCCCGCTCCCCGTCCCGCTCTCTGTCTCCATCCCGCTCCCGCTCCCGCACTCGCAGCGGCTCCAGCCGGGCGTCGTCTTCATCGTCCTCGTGTGCGGGGCGGCGAGGCGCCCGCGGCCAGGCGCTCGGCGGCGCCTCGGGGCTGCGGCCGTCCCGCTCGTCGTCCGCCCGCTCCTCCGCCAGCGCCGGCGACGCGGCCCGCGGCCCCCGGGAGCGCCCGCGCCCCGCCCAGCCGCCCGCGGAGGACGGCGGCCGCGCCGCGAGGAGAGGCCGCGCCGAGGGCGGCCGGGGCCCCGCGCCCAGCCCCGCGCCGCGGCCCCGCGCCGCCTCCGACAAGGAGGAGGGTGAGGCCTCCTCTGACTCGGAGCCCGACGCCCGCGCCCGGCCCGCCGCGCGCCGCCCCGGCCCCGACGGCTCCCCCGCCGCCCCCGAGCCCGGCCGCGGCCGCACCCCGAGCCGCCGCCGCGCGCCCCGGGCCCCCGAGCGCGGCCCGAAGCCCAGGCCCGCGGGCGCCGAGCGCAGGACGCCCGCCTTCCGCTGGCAGCCGCCGCTCGAGTTCGGCGACGACGACGACGGGGACGCGGACGCCGGGGCCGAGGCCGCCCGGGAGCCGCGCCCGCCGCCCCAGGACCCCGCCCCGGGCCCCCGCCAGCCAACGCCCGGCCCCGCGCCGCCCCCCGCCGACGGGGAGAGGCCCGCGCCGCCCGCGGACGACAGCATGGAGGTGTGCACGCCCGAGGGCAGCCCCGCGCACGCGCCCCGGCCGCCGCCCGCGCAGCCCCGCCACGCCGCGGGCGACGCGGCCAGCGCGGGCGCCCCGGAGCCCGGCCCCGCCGCCCCGCACGCCAGCCCCGGCGCCGAGCCCGCGGCCGCCGGGAGCCCCGCGTGCGCCCCCGACGCCAAGTGGAAGCCCCTGCGCGGCGCGGGCGACCCGGGCCCCGCAGCCCCCGCCGCCGCCGAGGCCCCCGCGGACGGGAGGCCGCCGCCCGCCGCGCCCGAGCCCCGGCCGCCCGGCCTGCGCATCGAGATCAAGAGCCAGAGCCGCGTGCGGCCCGGCTCGCTCTTCGACGAGGTCCGCAAGACGGCGCGCCTGAACCGGCGCCCGCGCGCGCGCCGCTCCCGCTCCCGCAGCCAGAGCCACGCGCGCAGCCCCGCGCGCGCCCGCAGCGCCAGCCGCTCCCGCAGCCCCGCGCCCGCCAAGGCCCGCAGCACGCGCTCCGCCTCCTACAGCCACAGCCGCGGCTCCCGCAGCCCGTCCCGCAGGTCCCGGAGCTCCACCTCCTCCTACCGGTGAGCGCGGGGGGGGGGGGGGGCGGCGGGGAGGTGCACGGGACTTACGAGTCTCCTGCCCGGCCTGGCCTCGAACCGCGATCCTCCGATCTCAGCCTCCTGAGTAGCTGGGGTGACAGGCGGGAGCCGCGGCGCCCGGCCACCGTATACTTTTGCTACTCGCCGTAATTGTAGAAGTGGCGCTGCGGCTCACCTGGTAGCGCGCTCGCCTTGAGCTCGGGGACAGCGCCCAGGCCCAGAGCTCAAGCCCCACGACCGACCATCAGCATGATACTAATTGTAGGTCAAGGAGCTACTCTAGAAGCCGGAGCCGGGGCCGCTACGGCAGAGGTCGAACCCGCAGCCGGAGCAGTTCCTACTGCAGTTACAAGAGTCACAGGTGAGCTTGTCACGCCTCCTGCGTGGGGTTCCCGCCACGATCCTCCCCTGCGCACATCCCGCATGTCCTTGCAGGTGCTTTGGAGAGAGAGAGAGAGAGAGTGTGTGTGTGTGTGTGTGTGTGTGTGTGAGAGAGAGAGTTGGGGGACTGGATATATTTCTGGTTCCCCCAACTTCTTACCCCCCCACCCCCCGCCCTTTGGCCACCCACTTTTGCACTACTGGCAGGTGTATTTCCAGTGTGGCCCCTTCCCCCCCCCAGGCTCTTCACCTAGTTCTATGTATCGCTTTAATTTCACCGTATAAAAATCGAATAGGCCTGCAAAGGAACTCTTCAGGCTGTTGACTTGCAAGGCAAACGATAGTTAGAAGGTTTCGCTGTACTGACACTGGATGGGGGGGGGATTTTTGCCTGGAGCTTGCTAGCCTGTCTACCCTGGCGCGCACGCGCTGCTGACACCCTGACACCGTGCTGTGATTCACGCCAGGAGGTCCAGCAGGAGCCGATCCGCCAGCAGCTCATCCGGTGCCCGCAGCCGCTCCAGGTGGGCCCAGGGCTGGGGACCAGCAAGGCCCGGGGGGTCCTGGGTGGGGATTTCTTTTTGGAGCTGAGAATCGAATCCAGGGCCTTACGCGGATTAAGCCCGTGTCCCTGAGCTCTTTTTGCCCGAGGCTCGTGCTCTACAGTTACAGATGGCCGCCAGCAGTGCCCAGCAAACACTGCGGTTCTTCACCAGATCCCTTCAGGGCATCTATTTGTCTGTTGAACTCATGTACCCTTTTTTTTTTGTGGGGGAGAGGCCGGGTGTGGGCCTGGGCGCTGTCCCTCAGCTCGTCAGCTCAGGGCAGGTGCTCTACCACTTGAGCCAGAGATCAGAGTCTCACGGCCTTTCCTGCCCGGGCTGGCTTCGAACCGCGATCCTCAGATCCCAGCCTCCTCCTGGGTAGCTAGGATGACAGGCGGGAGCCACCGGCGCCGGCTTTGTGATTTATTTTTTCCAAAGTGGAAAAGAACGTACCATTTCGTGTTTGAATATGCTCGGGGTGGAGTGGAGCCGCTGCCCGAGCCTCTCAGCACCGTGCTGCTCGATGGCCGGGGCTCTCTGCGCGTCGATGGGGAAGGGCAGCGTGCGCTGTTGCTGTTGAACAGGTCCTACTCTGACGACAGCTCCTACAGCCGCAGCCGCAGCCGCAGCCGCCGCCGCCGCCGCCGGGGCAGCGGCCGCCGCCGGAGCAGGGACTACCGGCGGTCCAGGTAGGCCTGCCCGGAGCGCCCGCTGGGATGGCGGGCTGCCCCTCGACCTCGAAGCGGCCATCGCCACCCAGTTTGTCCTGGTGGCCCCCGCCTGCCCCCTAGCGCCTCAGGGGCTGCGATCTGAGGATCCTGGTTCAAAGCCAGCCCCGGGCAGGAGAGGCCGGGAGACTCGGCTGGGGGCCGGCGCCCGGGCCGCCGTGGCCCCGCGGCCGCCGCCTCGCGGCGTGGAGCGCGCCCTGGCCGGGAGGGGGAGGTTTCACCCGAGGCCTTCCCTCCGTGCCGCAGGAGTCGCCGGTCCTTCGGCTCAGACAGCAGAAGCGAGCGCAGCTACTCGCATCGCCGCAGCGCCAGCGCGAGCAGCCGCTACAGCTGAGCCCCGTGCGCACGCGCGCGCGCGCCAGCGCGAGCAGCCGCCCCAGCCGAGCGCCGTGCGCACGCGCGCCAGCGAGAGCAGCCGCCCCAGCCGAGCGCCGTGCGCACGCGCACGCACGCCAGCGCGAGCAGCCGCCCCCGCCGAGCGCCGTGCGCACCGCGCGCGCACGCCAGCGCGAGCAGCCGCCCCCGCTGAGCGCCGTGCGCACCGCGCGCGCCTCCACCCGCCGCTGCGTACCTGCTCACTTGTTCGGAGTTGGAGACGCGTCCGGCCGTCGGTGGCTCTGCCTTGAGCGCTGGACGCGAGTCGCCAAGCGTTCCTTTGGAGTCCGTGGCGTTGAAGACCCAAGCATGCACACCTCTCGAAAGGTTTCAATGCCCCGGCTTGCAAAATAGCCCCGCGGGGAAGTTCCACTCTTCTTGAATCAAGAAGCAGCGAGCTCCCCAGGGAGTGTTTTCACGACGTGTAATCGCACACCGACTGTGGGGCCCGTCTCACAGCCAGGCAGTTTGGGGACCTGTCGCTGCCAGCCACGGATCTATGAAGGCGCCAGCCGGCACCCCCCCACGGACCTCACCCCCCCCCCACGGACCTCACCCCCCCCACGGGCCTCACCCCCCCCCCACGGGCCTCACCCCCCCCACGGGCCTCAACACCCCCCACGGACCTCACCTCCCCCCCACGGGCCTCACCCCCCCCCACGGGCCTCACCCCTCCCCCCACGGACCCCCCCCCCCGCGCTGTCTCCACGGGGTCCCGACCCGCGCGCGCGCTTTGCTGACTACTCAACACCGTCGGAAGTTGCGATCGGTGGGAACCAGTTGGAGCGCAGATCGCGTTTGGGGCCGGGGCCCCTGGCGCCTGTGGGGTCGTGTGCTGTGGTGAGCGCATTGTGGGAGACCGCAAGAGCGCGCGAGTGAGGCCTCTGCTCGCGCTGATTGCGGGGCTCCTCAAACAGCCAGGATCGCCATCTGGCCCGTGCGCGCGTGCATAGAGCGCGGGCGGCACACGCGACGCGCCACACGTGTTTTCCACCCAGCGTGTGTTTCCCCATTCCACCACCACCCACGGCCGGCCCCGCAGGCCCCTGCCCCGCCCGAGCCACCCGGAAGAGCGCGGGGTGCAGCCGGCCTCCCGCGCCCTGGCAGCGCCACCGGCGGCGCGCGCTGCTCCTTCTCAAGTCCTCGTGGCTGAGCGTCGTTCCCCAAGTGTACTTGATCACCTCAGTGCCGACCGGACCCGCTCCTGCAGGAGCTGTTCCTGCGGGAGGGTCACCCGCGCCCCGCACCCCCACGCCCGGCTGGCGCGTGCGCGCCGCGGACCCGTGCAGGAGGGATGGCCCTGTGGGGGAGAGAAGATCGGGGAGACACAGTGCAGCCCCCAAAGCCAGCGAGTACATGAAAGCTATGGGAGGCCGGCAAGCGGGTCAGGAGACCAGCGCTGGCTAAACCCAGCGGACACTTGTCAGATGGGAAGAGCTTCGGGAAAGTTCCCCCTGGTTCTGTAAATAGGTTTCTTGTGGCTGTGTGGGAAAGGGGGCGGGGGTGCAATGCCCCCCACTGTAGCAAGCTCAGAGGAGGCGGGCCCTGGGTCCACGCGTGTCACCCGGCTGCGGGAGTCGCGCGGTTTCACATGCTTCCTGTCTACCTTCCTTCCGTCTTGCTGTTTGGTTTGGTTTGGGTTTGGGGTTTATTTTGGGGGGGGGGGGTGTTACCAGAACTGCAGCTTGAACTCAGGGCTTAGGCACTTGGTCTGTCCGTTCCCTTTTCCCCTCGAGGCTGGCTTCATCTTGCCCTGGGAACCACCGCTTTCCACCTTTTCCTGGAAGACGAGACTCATCAGGACTTTGCCTTGCCCAGGCTGGCCTTCAATCTCCGTCCTCACCTCTCAGCCTCCTCCGTAGCTAGGATGATAGACGTAGAGCCACTCGAGGCCTCAGGGGACTTGGATGGTGGAATTGGCAGGGTGGAAGAAACGAAGTAAAATGCTGTCCTGTCCTGTGCGCTTCTCATTCTTAAAAGAAGGTGAATGTGGGGACTTAACTTTGTGAACATCCTGTTTTCCTGCCTACCATGTGTCTCTTTCAAAACATGTAGAGAAGCCTTTTGTGCTCACCAGCAGACGCCTCCTTTGTACCAACTCCACTTCTAAAAGGTGAAGGGGGAACGTTGTAGAAATTAAACAATAACGCCTAGTCCAAGTCTGCATATTTCCTGTTTTTGTTGGTGCCAGTCCTGGGGCTTGAACCCAGGGCCTGGGCGCGGTCCCTGAGCTGCTTTTGCTCCAGGCTGGCGCTCTACCCCTTGAGCCACACAGCGCCACTTCTGGGCTTTTGTCTGTGTTTTCTGTGGTGCTGAGGAGTCGAACCCCGGGCTTCCTGCGTGCTACGTGAGCACTCTACCACTGAGCCACCTGCCCGGCCCGGGTTTCCTGTTTGGATCCAGCCTCTCTGACATGGGAAACACAAGCAGCACACCCCGCCAGCCCCACGGGGACGCCACTGACGACCTTGTCACAGCACGAACCTTGCCAGCAGCACGCTCAAGATTCGTCTGTGGGGGGTTTTATTGTTTTCATGGCTTGTTGGAACTCTGGGCCTGGGCGCTGTCGCTCAGCTCAAGGCGATCGCTCTGCCGCTTGACCCACAGCGCCACTCCCGGTCTTGTAGTGGTTCAGGGGCCCGTCTCGGGGCCTGGCGCGGAGGCCCCGGAGGCTGAGGTCTGAGGATGGGGTTCCCAGCCGGCCGGGGCAGGAAAGAGCGCCCGGCACCCCGGGTGCCAGCCTCAGAGGGAGGAAGCCTGCGGCCCCCGGTGCCGGCGGAGCCCGGGCCGGGCCGCCACAGCCTGGCATCCCCTGAGGATCGCGGTTCGAAGCCAGCCCGGGCAGGAAAGGCCGTGAGACTCTGATCTCCGACGAACCCCGGAAGTGGCGCTGAGGCTCAACCCGTAGAGCGCCAACCTCGAGTTCGAGCCCCACGGCCGACCGAAGCTGGGACGCAGCCCCGTGGATGTGTCCGCCCGCGCAGGCCTCAACCGTCGGTCCTCAGGTGACGGGTCGCCCAGGACCCAGCCTTGGACGCCTCATCAGGCCGCGTCAGGTTGCGTGGCCGAGGGCGGCGCGGCCTGCGGCTGCGTTTCCTCCTCCAGCGCCCGGAGGCGCTCCTCAGCGGGGGCCGGCGGGGCGGGGCCTGGGCGGGGCGGGGCCACGGACGGACCAATGCCGCGGCGGGGGCGTGGCCACGGACGGGCCAATGCTGCGGCAGGGCGGGGCCTCGATGGGGCGTGGCCACAGACGGGGCCAATGCCGCGGAGGGGCGTGGCCACCGCCACGGCTGGGCGTGGTTATGGATGGCCAAGCCGCGGCGGGGCGGGGCCTCCTGCGGGCCTGGGCGGGGCCCGGCGGGGGGCGGGGCCTCGGGGTGAGAGTGACCCGGCTGGGGCGGGGTCCGCCTCAGCGTGAGCGCCGCGCTCGGTCCCGCCGCCGCCGCCGCCTCCCGGGCCCGGCTGCGGCCCGGCGCCCCGCGGAGACCCCGCTCCCCCCCCCCCCGCGCGGCGCCCCGCGGAGACCCCGCTCCCCCCCCCCCCCCCGCGCGGCGCTGGCCCTTTAAGCGCCGGCCGCGGCCCCAGCTGACGCGCGGGCTCCAATCGCGGCCCGCGCCCCCCGCGCCGCCCGCGGCCGGGCCGCCGCCGCCCCGCGCCCCCGCCGCCGCCCCGCGCCCCCGCCGCCGCCCCGCGCCCCCGCCGCCGCCCGGCCCGCGCAGCCCGCGCAGCCATGCTCCCCGCGCCCGGCGCCGCCGCGGCCCCCAGCGCCGCGCTGCACGGAGCGGCCCCGGCCCGGCCGCCGGGGGCGGCGCCCGCCCGCGGGGCCCGGTGAGGCCCGCGCCCGCACCATGGTGAGCACGGCCTCCCCCTGTGGGGCCCGCCATCCCGGGGCACCCCCTGCGTCCTGGGGTCCCCCCTGCCATCCCGGGGTCCCCTCCTCCATCCCGGGGCCCCCGCCATCCCGGGCCCCCCCGCCATCCCGGGGTCCCCGCCATCCCGGGCCCCCCCCCCCCCGCCATCCCGGGGTCCCCCCTGCGTCCTGGGGTCCCCCCTGCGTCCTGGGGTCCCCCCTGCGTCCTGGGGTCCCCCCCCCGCCATCCTGTGGGCTCCCATCTTTCCGTCCTGAGGTCCCTCTGCGTCCTGAGCCCCCCCTCTTTCCGTCCCGGGGTCCCCTGCGGCCTGGCCTCGCAGCTCCCTTGCAGGAGCCCGCATTCCTGGGGTGGGGGGGCCGGCCGTGCCCGCCCCGCCCCCCTCCGCCCGCCCCCCCCACGCGCCCCCCTCCTCCCACCCCCCCTCCGCGCGCCCCCCTCCGCGCGCCCCCCTCCGCCCGCCCCCCCCACGCGCCCCCCTCCTCCCGCCCCCCATCCCCGCCCCCCTCCGCCCGCCCCCCCCACGCGCCCCCCTCCTCCCGCCCCCCATCCCCGCCCCCCTCCGCCCGCCCCCCCCACGCGCCCCCCCTCCTCCCGCCCCCCATCCCCGCCCCCCTCCGCCCGCCCCCCCCACGCGCCCCCCTCCTCCCGCCCCCCTCCGCGCACCCTCCCACGGGGCCCCAGCGGGATGGGGGTGGGGATGGGGGCGGGGATGGGGGGCGGGATGGGGGCGGGATGGGGGGCGGGGATGGGGGGTCAGGGATGGGGGTGGGGATGGGGGCGGGATGGGGCCGGGGATGGGGGGGCAAGGATGGGGGGCCGGCCCCTCCCACCAGGCCCCAGGGCGGGGGGACAGGAGTGGGGGACACGCACCGGGGCGCCCCATCCCGGGCTCACAAACCGGGCTGGCCTGGGGCCGGCACGACCTCCGACCCCTACCCCACCCCGTGGGTGGACACTGGCGGGTCCCAGGACTGGGGCTCGGGCTCAGTATCGGGGTGCTGTCCCTTCCCTTTACCCCCCCCCACACACCCCCCTCAGGATTGCAGGCGCTAGGCCTCAAGCCTCGATCCTCGGGTCTCAGCCTCCCTGAAGAACTGAGGCTTACAGGCCTGAGCCACCGGCTCTGCCCCCAGCCTCCCCCTTCCCCCCCCACACCCCAAAATGCCTGGTCTGACAAACCCTTCCCTGAGCTGCCCTTGGCTCAGGGCGAGCGCTCGGCCCCTCGGGCCACGCCGCCACTTCCAGTGTTGTCTGTGTGTGTGGGGACTGAGGAATCGAACCCAGGGCGCTCGTCAAGAGGACAAAATGCAGACAAGGCCTGGGAGCAGGGGATGTCGGGCAGGCCGTGGCAGATACTAAGTGATGTCCGCTCCACGCCCAGCCGGGTGCCTGGCTGTGCTGCCCACAGTGGTTTGGAGTTTTGGGGTTTTCTCAGGGGGAAGGGGGGGGTCCTCTGTGGTAGAACCAGCATCTTACTGAATAGGCCTCCCTGGCTCCGTGGCCTGACTCTCTTGACCTTTGAGGTTCCCCTTGGAACGTTCTGGAAGGTAGAGCCTCTGAGACAGCATCTCATTTAGTGAACCTCTCTCTCTCTGGGCTTGGATCATACCTGAGCAGAACCTGGAGAGAGAAGAGGTCCAGCGTAGGCCTTTGGGGGTGTCCTCTCACCTAGAAAAGGGGGTGAACAGGTGCCCAGCTCTGTCCTTCCCCTCCCCCAGCCTCCCATACCCCCCCCCCCAAGCTTCCCGGTTTGGGTGGCAGGATTTTCTCTTTATTGTTTTGTTGTTGTCGGTCGTGGGTCTCGAACTCACGGCCTGGGCGCTGCCCCTCAGCAATTCAGCTGAAGGTGAGCGCTCTACCACTTGAGCCACGGCGCCACTCCGGGCCTTTTCTCTTTCTGTGATCCTGAGGAATCGAACCTGGGGCTTCACGCACGCTACCACTGAGCCACCTTCCCTGCCCGGCCCCCCACCCCCCAGAAGAAGAAGAGGGCTCCCTTCCCTGGGGCTGGGCCTTCCCCCAATGGGTCGCACACACCCGGAGGCTGCGGTCTCGAGGATCGCGGGTGGAGGCCGAGCCTCCCTCTCTCCCTGTCGCTTGTCTGCCCACAGTTGCTGGTGGAGAAGACCACGGACTCGCCCGCGGCCGAGTTCTCGCTGGTGGAAGACGTGGCCCTGCACTTCGCGCGGCTCATGGGCCGCCTCAACGAGCAGCGCCTGTTCCAGCCGGACCTGTGCGACGTGGACCTGGTGCTGGTGCCGCAGCGCAGCGTGTTCCCCGCGCACAAGGGCGTGCTGGCCGCCTACAGCCAGTTCTTCCACGCGCTCTTCACGCAGAACAAGCAGCTGCAGCGCGTGGAGCTGTCGCTCGAGGCCCTGGCGCCCGGCGGCCTCCAGCAGATCCTCAACTTCATCTACACCTCCAAGCTGCTGGTCACGGCCTCCAACGTGCACGAGGTGCTCAGCGCCGCCTCCCTGCTGCAGATGGCCGACGTGGCCGCCTCGTGCCAGGAGCTGCTGGACGCCCGCTCGCTGGGCACCCCGGGGCCCGGCCCCCCGGCCTCGGCCTCCTCCTGCAGCCCCCGCCACGCCTCCTTACTACTGCGACATCAAACAGGAGGCCGAGCCTCCACCGGGCCTGGCGAAGATCTACGCCCGCGAGGGGCCCGATCGCTACTCGGTGCGCGTGGAAGATGCCACGGACACCGGGCCGCCGCCCTCCCCCGGCCCCCGAGGCGGCCCCGGCGCCCGCTGGGGCCGTGTGCAAACAGGAGACGGATGGAGGCCCGGCGGAGGAGGCCGCGGCCCTCCCTGGCCGGCGGCCTGTGCAAAGTGGAAGGCGCCGGGGGGGACGTCGGGGTGCAGGCGGCAGCCTACGGCCGCCAGGAGCAGTCGCAGATCATCGTGGAGGTGAACCTCAACAACCAGACGCTGCACGTGTCCACGGGCGCCGAGGCCACGGAGGCCACGGAGGCCACGGCCTCCACCGACCTGTCCACCATGGTGCTGGCCAGAGAGGCCGGGCTGCCCAGGGCCCAGGAGGAGGAGGAGGAGGAGGAGGAGGAGGAGGAAGGTGGAGATAGCGCAGCTGGAGAAGAGGAGGAGGACGAGGAGGAGGAGGAAGGAGGCAGCCACGAGGAGGAGGAGGAAGGCCAAGTCCCGAGGACGAGGAGGAGGAGGACGAGGAGGAGGAGGAGGAGGACCCCGAGAGCTCCGAGGAGGTGGACGCCCCAGGGACGGGGGCCTCCGGGGAGCCCCCGCGCCCCGCCCCACGGCCGCATGGCCACGCGCTCGCGTGAGCACACGCAGCCCGGGAGGCCCCCCGAGCCCCGCGACCCCCCGCCCCGCGGCCGGCAGCCCCAGCCCCCCGACCACGACGCTGACGACGGGCCGGCGGGCGCCGCGGCGAAGGCGGAGAGGCCGCCCCACGCGTGCCACAAGTGCCCGCGCGTGTTCAACAACCGCTGGTACCTGGAGAAGCACATGAACGTCACCCACAGCCGCATGCACATCTGCGACCAGTGCGGCAAGCGCTTCCTGCTGGAGAGCGAGCTGCTGCTGCACCGCCAGACCGACTGCGAGCGCAACGTCCAGGTGGGCCTCTCCCCGCCGGCCTCCCCCCACGAGCCTCCCCCCCCCCCCCGAGGAGGAGATGGTGGCCCCCCGGGGTGCAGATTGGGGGTGGGGTGGGACACGAGTCAGCCAGGAGGGCTTCCTGGAGGAGGAGGAGAGAATGCAAGGCTCACACCGGGCATCCCAGCCGCTCGGGAGGCTGCGATCCGGAGGATCATGGTTTGAGGCCAGTCCTGGGGCAGGAAAGGCTGTGGGACTCTGATCTCCGATAGGCCACTTAGAAAAGCATAAGCGCTGTGTGTGGCTCAAGTGGTTGAGCGCCGGCCTTGAGCTGAAGAGCTGAGGGACAGTGCCCAG